TTGTCAAGCAATCCTTTGTTTGGTTCTAAACTCTAACCGATCGAAACCAGATTCTTTGGGACATGAAACAAAATTCCGAGAAACTGCTCGTGCGTCACTAAACTGATTTTTGATTAGCAAAACTCATTAAAACGTAATAAACATGAAACGTGTCTTTTGAGTAAGCCTTATGAAATCCTCTCTTAACTGTTCCATAGTTTTGTCAGCGACGAATATAAATAGGGTTTTCAATATAGAATAAGTAGTCACAAATAGCTCAGAAATATAAAAATAAATACTCTGGGAAAGGAAAATACTGATATTGGAAAGTTAGTGCAGATGCAACATGTTAAAATGTCTCAGAAGAAGCATGAAAGATCAAAATACACCAGACAAAATCTCTATTTTAAAAAAACTATGTGGCAAAACATTATTTTGAGATCTAAACACTACATTGTGATCGCCAAAGTATGAAACGTCACTGTTTCTTAGTTGCAGATGACTGGTCAGATAAATTGGCTTTGTTCCTTGAGAAACAATCAGCTCTGTAGCCCACACAGTCACAATCCCATGTCCACATCACACCTACATTAATTTTAATTCTGACAGTCAAGTCGAGTCAATATCATGCAGCAAGTGATAAGGATGAAGAAAAATACCAATTAGGAGATTATTGGTTGATTCAAAACCAAATTCTCCAAACTCACACAATATGAAATAAGACTTGTATAGCAGACAGTAAGAGGAATTATTAAGGATATCTTTGGAGTAGAAGGGCTATTATGCATAAATTGGTAGGTATCACTTTAGCACTGGCTCTAGAGAATACTATTAGCAATAGCTGGCCTTGTAGTTAAATAAGATCACTCGCTCGTTACCATGACGCCTGGAATGAGCTTTTCTTCTAGAGAAGAGATCCAAAATAAATAGCAGCTTACATTTTTTTACCCTCATGATGTTGTGCGGTTCCCTGCATTCAAAAGTTTCTCAGAAAAATAACTTTACATCCCTAGGTTTTTCACCAAGTTCAAAATTGCAACCTCTTTCAAAGTGTATAGCTCAGTTCTCTGCATTCAAACATATCTTATCATTTAGTGTGGAGTGACAATACTCTGTTGTATCACCCAATGCTTACTTCGTAAAAGCTACGCCACGGTCGTGGAGCCTTAATACTCAGCCTCAATTATCAAAAACGGATTTTAATTGCAATCCAAGTTCCCCATCCCTTACCATCCGCAATCTTTCTTGTTTTATTGCTATCTTTTCAATGATTTCTACCCTACCATACAACTATCTCACAGTTTATTTCACATCAAAAGGCCATAATTTTGCGATACCGTCCTCCAATAAAGTTTTCATGTAGACGCTTAAAAGAGCAACAACGGAGATTCATAAAAACATCGTCAGTTCATGAGCCACTTGTCGCGTCATAGGTTTTCTAAACTCATTCATCCTGGCAGTGTTATCCCTTTAAGGTGGTAATCGGTAAAATTTACCGCCTAATTAATCTCTTATTACCGTCTGAAATCGCTTGGAATTCTTGAAAACTCATCAGGTAAAAGGATTTCTCTATCGTCTGAAAACTTTTTTTACCTGCCATGATGAAAACAAAGGAGAACACTACATCCTTGTTACTGTTCCCTGATGTGCATGGACATCTTCGAAGTTTTCTTCGTTACGCAATAATCATTCCATTTTGATGCAGTTCGACATCACAAAGAAAGTTGCCTCAAGCTTTTTAAACGATATGCTCTTCAAGTGGTTTCCGCCGGAATGAGAAAAGGAAACTCGAAAAACAAATTCATTGTGTCTTTGTTTCTGAGCCCGCAGGCGCATCACGCCTTTAAGTGGCCCGCTAAGTGTTGTAATTATTTCGCAAAAGACGCAATGTTCACACCTTCCCACACGTCTGACCAAATAGACATGAGTAACATGTGCCAAGATCTTCACGTAACCAGGGTATGCTTAGGCAAAGTGTAAATACAGCATTTCACAGTACGCTTAACTAAAAAATTAAAAGGGACGAAGAAGAGAAGCTAATGGATTTCTGATAAAAATACATGAAAATTACCGAAGGTTCTTCGCAAGGAAAACCGCCAAGCTTTGGCGTCACCATAAAACCTAAAATCAACAGCCTATTCATCAGGGATTGAATAGGAGCTAATGAAACCCAGGAAACAATTGCAAATTTTGGTGATACCGTTCAACGTTTGAACTCAGACATACATATCACGCACGTTAAAATCACCTAGCAACATGGTATTCACTGGACAACCTTTAATTAAACAAAGTGCGGCCTTTTACTGCATATTTTAGATCTGGTTTCGTCAGAGGCATTTACCTTTGCTGACATTTATTTTTTCCGCCAAGCCCTGGTGGATCATTTCATTATCTTATCTCTTTGTGGCGTTTACAAAAGACAGCGGTAATAAAGTCAACGAGTTTTCTGGCAGCGTACAACTGCTCCTGAGATAACCCCAGAGGTCACCGATCCGCAGCTAAAACGATCACGACTCGCGCCTCTGTGAATCGCAGCTACTGGTGAGTTTTGTTCAATGCAGTATAACGTCAAAACAACATACTGTTTTTGAGAAAAAAGTTCTGAAAAACACCGCACGATATTGCCCCGGGGGGAACAAACATAATTGGAAGCACTGTCCGTGAGAGCATGTTTGCTGGGCAAAAGTTGACCTCTCTTCATCACAAAAACTCCACTTAGCATTTCTTTTGTGTAACACACAAAAGAGTCATCGATATATTAATCTACGCACAGCCGAAAAAGTAGCATTTCAATGACATTAGACAGCTTTTAACGCTAACAGAGAAACCAGACTTCAAAAGACACTATGGCTTGTACCTCGGAAACTTAACACCAGAATTCTTTATCAACAGACTGACGTAACATCTGATCTTTTGACTCTGGAAAATGGATTCTGTTGCAATTAAGACCTTGTTTAAAATGGAAGACAAAAGTCTATTCTAAACAATTCTATACATGTCAAGTAGCTTGGCTTGTGAATTATAAATGAAGGCTCGTTGTCACGTTTTTCAGAATGAAATTGCACATTCCACTTGTACGTGTGCGTGTGAATAAACGCATAATCGATTAGATGAGAACATAGCTATTTAAATAAGTGTAAAATTATGTAAAAGAAATTACCCCAAGCAAAACCTTGAAGCGGATCGCATCTCTTAAATAACAGCACGTAATGAACTTCGCTTAGCAGTTGGGACGCTATTGTTTCGAACAGTATTCAAATACCTATGAGGGAAATAACGTAATTATTTAAGAGCCCACATTAAAACCATCTTAAAATTCCAACTTTCAATCACTCTGGCAAGCCTGGCGTTAATTTGACTTCACGTGAATAATTAAACACGTAAACATAACTTCCCAGAAACTCCTTATCATAAAACCTGCCCTTTTAACTTGAAGGAAAGGTAAAATTTGTTTTCGCTGATTCGGCTGAATTTAAAACTTCGCACTTGCAATTTAATTGGCAAATTTCAGTTTAGATGCACATTTTCGTTCAGTTATCCAGGCACCCCCTTTTAGTTTGAAATTTAACGCTGAAAAACTATTTTGTTTATATGTTTAGAAGAAGTAAACAATTAAGAACTAGAATAGCAATTGAGAGAGTGATTGCATCGGCGGTTCATGTGTGAAGGCTTTCCACAGTTATCGGAAGGACGATAAATATAGTTTTATATTAATCACTTAGTTTATTTTTAAAACCAAAGATGTGTTAAAATAAGTAAAGTAAGTCGAGATTGTTTTAGATTTCTAAAAGACGCTTCAAGAGCTTCCTTGAAGAGGTTACTCACTTATCAGAGTCGGTGTCATAATTATCCTAGAGGCTTTGGGATTATACGTATAAGGGAAAAAAAAACACACCAAAAACGTTTGACGTCATGTCAAAGTAAAGGTTCAAAAAATGAAAACGTTTGACGTCTTGTCAAAGTAAAGGTTCAAAAAATGAAAGTCAAAAAAATAATTTTTTTGACGTTCATTGACTGCGAGTTGGTGTCTGTTTGAAAGAATTCCCTTTTATCTTATCCGACGGAAATAAAAACCAAAAACAACAGAGCAAGGCAACCAATTGTAGACTCCACCTTAGCAATTGGCTATTTAAGATGCATATGATTTTCGTGATTAAAATATATCTTTTGGTCAATCACAAAATAAACAACCCTGTCTAGAATTTCTCGGTCAGAAAACCGCAGCTAGTTTGCGGCTCTCATCGGCGTTTTAAGACACTGCTTAGCATCTTGATGCTTCAGGTAAGCTTTTCAAGTAGATTCACGCTTCCATTGAGGTTTAAATACGCTATAGCTTTTGTCCTCTCTGCTGGTGACCGCCACACGCCACTATATGATTAACACTGACTTTGAGTGGCTCAGAATTAATCCCTTTTCTGTCGCCCGCTTATGAGTTCAAAGTGTTATGTACTTGCCTCAGTTGAGGGGAGTAGAAAACGTTTAGAATTGGGAAAACAGGTCAAGAACACAATAAACTTTCAATCCATCAGGGCGGGCGAAAAAGCGATTTTCTTCGGTTTCCCACTTAAAAGGGGGCGTCATAAAATCATTTCCAATTCTCCTCTGTCTGTCTGTCTCGAGTTTGTTATGACGAGAAAATCAAAGCAAATTGTAGGAAAATGAAAAGCCGCTTCTACCAAAGGTGCCAGTCTTTGTAAAATAGCATCCGCAAATTATGAACAGAGCAAAATATAGACCAAATATATAAAAGCTCACGCAGGTGGAATGGATTATGCTGATAGTAATGCAATTAGCGCACAATCGCCATTACGTCTTAGAACTTGTCAAACCCAGTCTGACTCTAAAAAGGGAGGCAAGATTTTTAAGGACAACATAAGAAACATTAGATTCTAACCAGGCCGCGCGCTCTTCGTTTAATATTAAGACACAGTCACCTGTCATTCAAATCATCACACAATAAAAGACGCATTAGCGTGTCCACACAAATTTCGTTACAAACAACAGCTTCCGCAACGGGTCAACAATATTCCCCGAGCGAATACGCAAGCCTTTTGATCCTTGAAAGCTAATATATGCAGCGAAGTCTCGGCGTTCGTTAAGAGCGCGCTTGCGCAATTAAACAGCGTGTGCGCGACCCCTTGTATTCGATCCTTTTCAGTGATTAAGTGCACTGTGCACTGCAGGAAAACCGTACTCTCTGGACTCTGTTAATAAGTTTAGCACCTCTTTGAATATCTAACAGTTCTTTGTGCTCCTGTGTTGAAAATCCACCAGGTACGGGAAGCGGTGATGGTGAAGATTCTACTTTTGATCGGAGCCCTGTGCTCGATGACCGTTACTAGTACAGGTTAGTGTGTGTTCGAACCTATTGTAAATAAGCGTGTCAACTATTTTGGTAGTTCTCTACTAAACGGTTTTTTTCTGTTAAATGGTGGCCGCTCATAGGTGTCAAATTTCCAAAATATTCATACCTTAGCTCAAGATCTGTGCGATTACTCTAGCACGGGAAAGCCGTGTCGAATTTTCGTTTCTTATGCCACACCTTGACAAGATGTGAATGATTTGAATTTCGTTTCTTTGGAACACTGAGCATTCATTTTATCGCCGCGATTGCTGTTGTGCGGCAGAGGCAAGACCAAGCTAGGACCCCAGGAGTCCATTCGCGTTTGATTTGAAATTTGAGCCCTAAAATCTGACTGAAATCTCCCTTAGTCTTTTATCACACTCTCTCGACCCTTAACGATCGGAATAATGCACGTTCAGCATTACAATCAAGAATTTAACTTTTTCTCATTACAGTATCCAGGAGGTTGCTGTAGCGAGAACGTACTGCTTTGTTTGACGAAGCATACTGTACATCTTCACAGGGTGTATATTTCTCATTTTTCGCCCACTGCGAAACTTTCGAGTGATTCAATGCTAAAACGCTGCGATCAGAAATTGAAACTCAGCGCGTCAACCGAATTTATCGCAGCTCTTTGTCTTGCTTCAAATAAACCGCTTAAAACAATCGTAAGGTTAGAGCGAAGTCAAATGTTTGTGTTCGCTTTCTTTGGCCCTTATTTAGTGGACGAAGACAGTCGTTTTGAAACAAATTTTCGCAGTGATAGTTTAGGGGTGCACTTCTGATCATGTAATAACTTCGCTAGGAACTTGTTTTTAATTTTTGTGGCCGATACAAGTTTACCAGTTATGCAGGAGTCGTCTAAAGGTATTCCTTGCGGATTGTGCAACATTGTGCTTTTGTTTCTTTTTGGATTTAAACTTCCCTCGGCAAACAGTTTTCTGTAAAAACCCGCGGCATGCGACGCATTCGTGATCGTCATGTAATACTTGAGCAGTATCGGAGTGGAGTGAGTTTCGTCACGTATTCTGCAATATAGCCTCATTGTTAAAATGTTGTTGTTCTCGGTGCAAAAGGGCGCCTCACGGCAGACGTTTTATTTCAAACAACTAAACTTACGTTTTCGCGAATTTTAGAAAGTTTATCGATAGAACTTGCACAACTTTCAATAAACAGATTGTCGAACTTACGGCTCAAGAGCACAAGGATTAAGTTCCATTTTCAAGGACGAGGTCATTTGTGATTACTTATCACGACATAGAGGAATAGCAAGTTCCTGATTTGTGCCTTACTTTCTTAACTTCTCTGTTTTCACTAAACAGATCAAGTTTTCTTTATCAACTCGTTTTCATCTCATCTCAGTTGGAATCAGGACAACCATACATTTTTTCAGCTTTGGGAAAGAGCAATTTGCTCAAAGTTTTTGAACTCTGCTAGCGAGCAAGAATCTGATCTACCGCTACAATTTATCTGAACTTGTTTACGATTGAGAATAAATCGCTTGCATTGAAATGTGTGCAGCAACATAAAAGATTAAACAAGAATGTCGCCGCGAATGGGATTTGTTCATGATGACACTGGGAAAATATTCGTCTTGAAACTAAATATTGGGCCACAATTTTCGAATTCCGCAAACATTTTTGTTCTCTAGCCAAGAGACATTCACTTGATGAGTGAGTTTAGCCCTCCTAGCGTCTGAAGAGCGATAGAGGCATAGAAACATTTTAGTTTAAGATCGCGAGATTTATTTCGTATTAAAAAATCGACGAAGGTAACGAACATACTCACGCACGCAAAAGGCCACTCCAAAAATATGTATGATGCAAGGATATTTTTTTGAATCATTTGCATTTGTTTTGCTTGACTCCACCATGCGCTCAGTATTTTGGCTGATAATTATGAAAGTTGGGATATAATGATCTGTCACAAACTTCGATAACTTTCTGTTTAGAAGCATTTCAAACTTGGCATGTTAGTGGCTTCCCCTACGACTAAAATACACTAGATTACTGATCATTCCGTGGGTTCAGCGAACAGTCTAACACAGAAGCTTATATAACTAAAAACATAATCAAACGAAACATTTAGCTCATTCTAAGGCGAAAAACACGAGACCTGACACCTGACGAATAAGAACTGGTTGGGAACTAAGTGAGAAAGAAAAAGCGAAAGAGCAATAAAAACACCATCTTTTTCAAGATTCCATCAGTTGGATAAAAATTAGCAGTTAAAAAAGGAAAGATAGCAAATTGAGTACATATTATTTTTGTTTACTATTATTCAGCATACTCTACGTGCGAATGCATATTTAGATAATTCAACACAAAAAGGAATTGTAAACATGACGTTTCCTGACTATTGTTTTGGTTGAAAGGAAACTTTTAACCTGTCTGTTTTCTCCTTTTCCTCTACTATCATTTATCCGCACTGTAGTTTGTGTTAAATCTACCTTAAGTAAGTGGTGACATTCTCTTGAGCATCTATTTGTAAAGCTATTTTAGCAGCGAAATTTGAATTGACTCCTTTCAGCTCTGAAATCCTTTGACAGCTACGTAGCTACATCTACGGGAATTCAAGATTTTATCATTTGAAATGACAAACTAAATTGTCATACAAATTCTTTCCAGAGGAAAGAAAGGACTAAAAAATAAATTTCTTGATTAACATTTACCACTGAAATTTTTATGGACAGTAACATACAACACCTTCAACATAAATTGTGTATAATTTTTTAATGTGAATTGCGCTTCATTAAACTCTTTCAGACTTAAAATACGGTAAATATAAACAGTTTTGATCGCTGAATGGAATTTGCTAGTCGAACTACACCGAAAAAACCTAGAGTGACTAGAATATTAAAAAGAAAAAAGCAAACCATGAAACAAAACATTTGTTTTCAACTACAAAAATATATTCAAGGATATGAAAATCGGAAACTAAAAGTAATTCAGAATTATATCAAATTCAAAATGTATTAGAAACTGCAAAAGAAATCACATAATGTGTGAGGTAGCTGCATTTTGGTTGAACCGCAACATGTGTGAAGCTCACAACAACTCAAATTTCACTCACGAGATAAAGAGGAAATGTTTAATTCGTCGTTGAACAAAAATGAGAAACTTAAGCACTAGTTTAGTTTTAAGCATGTTACCACTTTGCCTTGTTTTTAACTTACAAGATACAGGTGAATCAAAAAGGTTTTCTGAGAAGAAGAATAATATGTATTTGCTAATTGTACACAGTCAAATGCAACGTTTTTTCGCCATGGTCGATCCCTAAGGCTGACTCCAAATTCAAATTACATTTGCCTCAATATTTCAGCCATAGGCTTTGACCAGTTGAAACAGACTGTTGGAAGGGGGGAGAGGGGTTAGACTTTGCCTGCTACCATCAGTGTAATACTGACTAATACAAGTTTGTCTGTTTGCTAAACTTCAGGTTCTAAACAGACGCCCTTGAAATTAGTTTCGGCAAACACAGAGCTACACATCATTATCATCACCATCGTTCGATACACAGCTAGAAGCAATTGTGAAGTGCACTAAACAACACAAATAGAAATAAAGTCACTGTTATTGTTTCCATTTTTCTCCTCTTGCTTGTAATGGAGATGAAATGGCCCAGTGTGACTTTGATCCAGAATGATAAGTTTGAGTTTGAGCTCTATCCAGGTCACTGTGTTGTGGTCTGTTCAAAGAGGGAGTTATGAGGGGCTTCTGGGTCATGAGCATTTTAACCCCTTACACCCTAACGTCAGTAAGCACATTCTCCATGCGGTTTTCCATAAATTTCATAAGATGCTGACAAGGAGAATTTGTTTAACAATCAAGAGCCTCTTTAGCTGGTAGTCATTTCTTTTATTTTCGAGACCTGAACACATGATTCTGGGGAAAACTGTAAGGATAAATGAAATGCCAGTCACTCTTAGAGGTCAAAGGGTTAAAACTTTCTTTCACTTTTGCACCTCACAGATGGAACAGTGACGTTACCCGTGAAAACTTTCAAAGTGCAACAAGGAAGAGACTTCAAAGTATCATGTGAGGTGATAGGAGAAAAGTTTTTGCATTGGAGAACACCATCAAAACTAGCTCGACCAGGGGTACCAGCAATACCAAGTGTTAACATTAAAGAAGAACAGACCACAGGTCGCAGAAGCATCAAAGTGTCTGGAAACACTTACCAGCTAACAATAAAGGATGTTTCTGTGCAAGATGGAGGGGATTATGTCTGTCAAGGATCAGCTGGTTCAGCAGTCTTTACCCTTGAAGTTGACTGTGAGTAATTACTTATAAGTTCATGTAACATCTGATGGTGCGTTATCAAATACTGTTCTCTATACATTTCCTTAGTGCTGGTAAGGAGAATTTGTTTAACAACCACGACCTCCTTTTGTTGATGATCATTTCTCTATTCTTGTGACCTAAATGTTTGATTCAGGGGCAATAATATTAAGAGAATTGGATGCTGGTCACTCTCAAAGGGTTAACGGGAAATGCACCACAGTTGTTGGGTCAAGCAATGTTGGGAAATCTTTCCATTCACAAAATGGTCATAGATGTGCATGTATGTAAGATGTTGCAGCATTATTTGGTTTAAACTGTATGAAAACTCTAAAAAGTCCTACACCTATATGCAAAACTTGAGAAAAATAAATGGGATCTCTCTCAAGTCAACCTGAGAACCCTTAGGCACTACATTATTTAATCTTTACGACAGTGGTCATTCACAATTAAATCTATAAAACCTTCCTTGTTTGTACTGAATGTGATTAATTACAATTTCTTTATCAATTTCAAAAATTTTGAGGCATGAATTAATCAAATTATACAGGACTACCTAAAGTACAATAACCTGAATGATGCGTGTGCACTCTTACAAGAACTCACAGAACACCAATGTTAGCCACAGCATTTGACCCACCAAAGTAAAAAATGTGGCTGGAAAAAATTGGAAAAATTGAGCTCCTTTAAATATTGTATATACTGTTGGCCCAGAATTGATAAATCTTTAATCCAACCCACTACATGCAAGTGTTGTGCTAGGTCTTCTAAGGCATCAAGAGGGTAGTTCACAATGCCAGAGCTTATCCTAAAACTATTGACATGAAGTACCTAGGTGTATGGCTGTCTCTCTCAACTGAAAAGCTAGTCCATCACATAAAACCTCCAGCACCTGGCTAATTTTTCTGACAGTTTGCTGGTACCTCTACTGATTGATAATTTCCGGGTGAATAGAAGCATCCCGTATCTTTCCCAAGAACCAAAGCCACTGACCAAGTGATCAGATGCTTGGACTCCGATATGTACCACAAAAACCTGTTCACTTGGCCATCATACCCTCAATTAGGTACTAGACAAAAGCTTGTTTAAATCAAACTGCTTTAGGTACCAAAACTAAAACAACAAGTTGAAATACAATCTTTTCTTTTAACAGTTGAGATAGGAGGGGTCCAAAAAAAACAGACCCTTAAAATTGGTGAAAAAGGGACCATAGTGCTAGATGTACCTGCTTTCCCTTCACCTACCTATGAATGGGTTAAGGATGAACAGGAGTTGACCTTCCCTGACCCAAGTGGAAGAAGATCCCTGGATAGCTACACAGGATCAATAGTCATCACACCAGTTCAGAAAAGCGATGAAGGAAACTATTCTTGCACAGTGACCCTTGGAACAGGAGACACAGCTCACATTGAAGTGACAGTTGTTGGTACGTCCCTTTGAATTAAATAACAAATTTAATGGAATCCTAACTTGTACATCTGTTGACAACAATATGTAAAAAAATAAATAAATAAATAATAATAATAATAATAATAAGCATTTCCGAGCATACATCATTACAATATCATTTTTATATTGTCAAAAAAGTAAAAAATAAAAACTTGTTCAGATGATATACAAAAAGAAATAGTTTTAATATTCAGCAGAAATAAATGAAAAATAACTGTGTATCAAATAGGTTGGTACATGTATGGATAAAAAGATTCCTGGTTATTGTAATTTCTAAAAGTATTTTAACTACTTGAGTAATTGTTTCAAAAAGAGTTTGATGTAAATGGTATCTTTCTGAGTGTTTTGTTTGGATTCAAACCTAAAGATCTACATTTCAAAGATCACCTGCTCAAACTTTCACAGAAACTTTATCAGAATTTAAAAATGTTTAGGTCATTTTTCAAATGTTTGCAAACAGCTGAAGATCTCTTTTCAGCAAATTTATAGAAGTTGGCTCCTCTCCCCATGCCTTAGCTTTGACACCAAATCTTCAACTCTCAGAAACGTGATATTGAAGTACATGATGATCTTGTCTCTGAAGTCCTTCAACCATTTTCTGACAGCATCTTTAGATTTCCAATCATTTGTCGGCAATAAAATGCAGACAGTTTTGTTCCCTGATATGGAAGTCACCTTACATAACATTAATACTACACTGTGATTATTTTCTTTTCAGAAATGCCAAAAATCAATAAGGCCAAAGGGAATCCTGTATCACGAAGATTAACACAAGGTTTTAATGCAACGTTCCTATGTGATGTTGAGTCTGGCTATCCCAAGCCAAACATTGAGTGGTGGTTTGAGTGGTCAGGTAAGGTAAAACAAGTGGAGGTGATACACTATCCACGATACACACATCCAACTCCTAATGCATGGACAATAACAAATATCCAGCTGGAGGATGTAGGAAAATACAGATGCATAGCAACAAATGAAGCTGGGGAAGATGTTCAGCTGTTTGAGATCACTAGTGTTGATGGTAAGTTGGTTAGCTTTAAGTTATCCCAAGTAAATAAAACAAGTACACATGACACACAGTTAATACTAGGTAGCAGATAAATGTTGAATACCAAGGGAAACACTTTGGCCTAGTGTGCTTTAAATGCTGGACTAAAAGGTCTCAATTTGAGCTCCAGTGGCCCATCATCAACCCATGTGTTGTATCCTTGGGTAAGAATTGACTAAAGTGGATGTCTCTAATCAAAGACAAGGCTTGGCAATGAGTATTTGTAAGTTTAAATTGAAAAGGTTGACAACGTGAGGGGTTTCTAAAGCTGTTAAAAGAAGTGGCTGCTGACAGTGGAATAAGCAGATGTTACCACAAAAAAGGCCGTTCCTGGTAAAAATACCTATGAATGTTACCAACAACTCACATAAAGCCTTGTAAATAGTAGTGGCTCACTGCTAAGTGGCTTTCACTGAAAGACTAAGCCAGGCAACTCATGTTAACATCTGTACCAACAAGTAATCTATTTACCTTTTCAGTTCCACCGACAATTGATCCAATGGATGATATCATAGCCAATGAGGGCAACAAAGTTGAGTTGACCTGTTCAGTAACAGGTACTCCAAAACCTACAGTGGAATGGTACTACCTTGGAAGTTACTACTTCGACCAAACGGTAATGTATTTGATATCATTACAATTCATTTGAATTCTCTGTTCTGTGAAACTCATAATGAACACCTGCACATTCACCCTTTTGTTTCCAGAAATTAACCAGCAGCCACCGTTTTTTGGGAAGTGAGCCTTCTTTACCTTGTCCCCCCCCCCCAAAAAAAAAAAAAAAAGATTTCAACCCATATAGTTTGATTCAAAATAAAATAAAAATTCCCTGACCTGACTTGTCACTGGCCCTTTTGTCCTGCTATCAGACTTAACTTAACTTAACCTTGGGTACAAGTGGAGGGGGAGAAGTGGAAGGGTAAGTCCTAGTTGTGCGAACCCTCTTCCCTGTCAGCTGACATTTTCCCCTTTTACCCTCCATTGACTATGATCACACTAAAGATTTCTTTGCAAGTGTTTTAAGAATTCTAACTTTAAAAGTTAACTGGTCTTTTGCCTTGGCTTTTCCTTGACTGTGGTAATGGTCTATACACATTTGAAAAATTATATGGTAGTATTATGCTTCACCTGTCGGGCTTGGCTCATTCTTTCAGGTTTTAGAGGATGATCAAAGCAACAAAATCACTGCAAAAATAGTATTTACAACAGTGAAAGTTCAAAACTCTGGAAAGTATACGTGCATAGCAAGAAATGGTGCCCGCAACTTGACTTCCGATACCGTTATTGAGGAAAAGAAAATGATTGAACTACTTGTAAGATGTAAGTTGTCTGATGCACAGACCTTGCCTAATTTTTTCACAGTAGAACATACAAACTCAAGGTGGATTTTGTATTAGCAGCATTTTCTGACTGAGCTAAAGTGAACTCACTATCATCATGTTCCAAAGACAACTCACAAACCATAAAAAAGGGCTCCATTCATCAAAATTTAGCCACAGCTCTTCAAAGCAATTAGAAACTCTTCGATCTCCAAAACACAATGCAATTGCACTGCTTCCAAAAGGGATTACAATACATCCCAGTTGATAATTTCTTAGTTCCCACAATCAGTAAACATGATGATGTATTAAACCATGTATAGGAAAGAATATCTTGTGATCAGTTTGTTAGAAGTTTTTAAACTTACCAGAATCATTTTATAGTCATGTCTTCCTTGAATTGATGAGTTGGATTTATCATTCATAAAACAATTTGCAACGTTTTTCTTTATTCCATTCAGCAATGCCAAAAATCAACTCACTTGAGTCACCTTCTCCAGTTTACTCTTTTGTGGGACGCAGGATTCCTGTGTCAGTCACGTGTAATTTCTATGGATATCCAGTTCCGACAGTGAAAATGTTTTCTGAAAATGGCACAGAGATTGCACATGGAAACCAGTCAGTGTCAATTAACATCACTACTTTATCTGAGGATGATTTTGGTGTTTTCAACTGCACTGCAGAGAATGCTGAAGGAACAGCAGACTATATGGTGGAGTTGAAACAAGCAGGTATACAAAAAAAGATTACATGACCACTCAACTTCCTTATATAACAGGGCAGTCAGGGAAAGAATGAAATTGTTGACACTTCCGTGGATATCATATGATAAACTTCTTGCTACCAAGTTTTGAAACTTTTTACCAAATCTATGCCAGTAACAAATATCTCAAAGGGCAATATCGTGATGTAGAAGCTACCAAAAATGATTATTCAAAAATACAGATTTCGGCATGTTAAACACATACTACATCTAAGCAAGAGGCTCCATTCCTCATGTTTAGATTGTCTAAACTAATCATGATGTATTGCAAACACTTTACTGTGTTTAAGGTTTCCATAACTGCCTTGCATTCTCCCAATTCACCTTGTTTTTAGATAAGGCTATGTGAACACAGAAAAACTCCTCTATGGCTCCCATGAATTGTTCTTTTACACAAACTGTAGTGTCAAAACTGTGCTCGCCGCTCATTTAAATACTCCGTTTGACTAACAAGAGCACTTGTTCAATACTGATAATCCTATGAAGTGTTAATCCTTTTCAAAAGGTAGTGAGAACATTGGAAGTCTTATAGAGTCATAAACATAACCCACCATCAAAAAAAAAAATATTTAAATCTGCAACTGAGCACTACACCCTTCAAAATTCGTAAGTATCAGTGATTAAAGGTTACATGTACCATTTTTTTTCACCAAAATTTTTGGTATTAGTTCCACCTGGCCCACCTCAAGATGTCCAGGCAGAGAAAACTTGCAACAGCATCACTCTTATGTGGAAGCAACCATTGGACAATGGTGGCATGCCTATCACCCATTATGTCATAACAATATTGTCAAATGACAGTGCATTCCTGAGCAAAAATGTTGACTGGCCTGCAAAGATGCACAAGATCGATTATGAGTTTACAGCAGAAACTACTTATGAAGTGAGGATAAAAGCACGCAGTGAGCCAGGAACAGGACAGGAGGTGAAACTTTCTGTCAGAACCGACAAATTCTGTGAGTACAGTAACTGTAAAAAGGCTTACAGGGCTGTATAGTAGCAAAGGTTGCAACTTATACCTATCAACATATATTGATAACGGTGAATTGAACAGTTTACACCTGAATCATAGGAAGTGCGTTTAACACAGAAGGTGGGATAATTCTAAAATTATCAGCACTAATTGACACTACCACCAGTGCCTTTGTTTGGAAGCCTAGTATATCAACTCCACCTGCGCTCCATTAAATTGCTATGATGGTGGCTTACTACCTGATGCCTATTTACACCTCATGAGAAAAAAGGGCAGCTAATTATTACGCATATAAAAAGGACCTCTTGTTGCAGCGGTTAGATCACCCCTGATGAAGGCACTAGACAGGAGTAGCAAAACATTGGGTCCATGAATTTTAACTTCTTGGTTACAATCATTAAGTCTTTAAACCAGAGTAGCATCAAGCCATGTCTGATTGTCCACCTGGTTGCATTGTATGTTACATAATTTCAAATTAACTTGCTGCCAGCCTATAGCTCTTGGAGTCAATTACATGTTCTGTTTAGCTAACTTGTGTCTCACTACGCATTTGGCTTTCTAGCCTGCATCCCCAAGCATGTTTAAAGTAAGGCTAAAACCATTCAGCAAAGATATAAAAGGGGTGACCTCTGTGATTACCAACTGATCTGCTGTTGGTCTCTTGAGCTTAACAATAGAGAAAAGGTTTCTTTTTTACAAATTCATCTGCAGCTGTGTGAGCATGGCTTGAATCTAAGTAATTGGAAATGCCTTTTGAGTATTCAAGGTAATCAAACCATTTTATACCCAGTCAATTTAATTGCTTTGTGGGACAAGAACATCAAATGTTTAATGAAATGTTGACAATAACGATGAACTTAGAACACTTGAAAGATTTGCTGTTTAGTGTTAAAAAAATTAAGCGAAGCTGAGCACAACACTGCATACTAAGACAATCAACTTAAATACATAGGTGTGCCTGGAAAACCCACCATCACCAACACAGAAATGAATGTTGATGTAGACTTCATTGTAACCTGGGAAGGGCCAAAGGACGATGGTGGTGATCCAAACTTGAAATACAGTCTGGAATGGCGCAAGAAACCCATAAATGCCAACACAGAAGTGAGTAAAGAAGAGAACATCCAAGAAACTCAATTCAAGATTACTGGTCTTGACTATGGGTCAGAGTATGAGGTAAAACTCTTTGCAGTCAACGAAGCAGGTGATAGTGAGGCAGATACCAAGGATTTCAAAACAACACAAGAACCAGGTAAGTCATATTCACAACTTCACCTGAGGTACTCCTATCTGTCTTTAATATGTATAACAAAGCAAAATATTTTTTTTCCTGATTAAAATGAACCACAGGATTCACTTCTCATGAGCAATTTTGAAGGGCTTAAAAATAAGTGGAAAATTTGGAAACATTTCAGTTCAAAAAATATGTAAGCAATGATAGGTACAATTAAAACATTTAACTATAGCTTGGATCAAAAATACAAGGCAGTGCTCTGTGTGCTATCAGAAGAGTGAAGTCATCACATCCATCTCAGATTTGATGACTTTCTACGGCATTCTGATATAGAGCAATTACTGACAGAGTATATGTATCTATACTGTGCAATTTGATCAAAGGCCAGGTAAATTAAATATCAACCAGAGTAAACCTCTACCTAGATGAAAAAAAGTTAGAAAATTTACCATTTGGGTACCAATTTAACTTTCAAAAAGCCTTATTTTTCTGAAATCACATTTGAAAAGATATGATGAAAGAATAATAATCAAATAGGAGGAAAATTCACTATAAAAGAAAAGTTCTCTACCTAGCATACAGTCAACACAAAAAAATTAGCGTAAACAATCATACTGTGGTCAAGTATATGTTAAATGGCTGATCCATCTGATTCCAGGCAACACATCAAGAGCACATGATAATTTGATTTCAGCAACTGAGTTGATATGTAAATTGGCCTTTGTAAAGAGTTTCTAAAGCTAATGTTTTGAGTATCATAGCCCTTCATCAGGTCAAGAGCACAGCCTTGTAAAAGCAGTCTCAATTATCAGTTATCAATTTATATACTACAGAGTTCACACATTTAGCAAAATTATCTCACTAACCTAGTACTTATTAAAAAATATCTTCATACCATTAATGCGAGATTTCTTGCTAATTTATTTTTAATTACGTCATAACTATTGCCCTTATCACGCACTGTTTTGTTTCATTTACTAACACACTTTATAATTTTGTTACTCACAATTACTCGTATTTAAACTGACGTACATTTAACACTTTTCTTCTTGGGCACAAACAGCCATCAATAAATCCAGAATATGTGTGAATAACACACTAAATAAAATGATAAATGTGGATATTCTTAGAACAACCACCTACCAACTTCTTAACATGATTCTATCTAATTAACCCAGCTTCTGAAATACATAGATCCACGATACTCTTTCACAAAATTAATGCACTTTTAAGTTTAATTTGAATTATAGTTAAAATTGTATTTCCAATTAAATACATTATAAACACAATATAAACCTGTTTTATTTTTTGAACTTTTATAATTCAGCAAGCACCACAAGTTCCACACAATGTAAGTGCACCCACATATTTTGTTGTTATTATTATTATTATTATTATTATATATATAAACATATTATATATTATTTTCTTTCAGTTGGCTAAAAATAAAACGGTATTTAATAAGCTCCTTAGAATTTAAAGGTACTTAAAAGAAGGTTTTAATGTCACTTGTTTCCAATAAGACTGGGATTCACCTTTCATATCGTCTAACCCTTTAACTCCCAAGAGTGACAACTATCTTGTTTCTCCTCACAAAACACCCCTGAATCACACATTATTAAAGAAAATGATTGCAAACTCAAGACACTCTTAATTGTTAGCCAAATCCTCCTTGTAATTACCATGGGTAATGCACAGAAACAGTTGGGAGAGTTTGCATTCCAATGTTTGGAACCTAGTAAACATTTTGTTCAGACAGAAATTTCAAGTTAGTAAGCAGATATTTTAAGCCACAGCCATTCCATTTTAAAGAATTAGATGTTTTTTTACCATATTTTTCTGAGTTCTAACTCATTATCTTAATCACTACCAGGTATTTGTTGATAATAATAATGGTGAAGCAAATTTTTTTTAATTAAAAGACTTCCCTATGGCATAAATAAATTCTAAAAATTGTAATTATCAACTGGAGGTATTTTAGATAAAATATATAAAAAATAACAAATAAATATAAGCATTGCTTTTTTGATATTGGATAAATGGATAAATAATGATTCTGGCAGAATTTATTTTACACTAAGTAATAAATTCTTTTAAAAATAATTAAATCACAGGTCAGATCGCCCAAGATAAATTAAAACTGTAGGATAATCTAATACAACTACTTTGTGTTCAGCTGCAATGTAACCACAAGTTCAAAGCTGTCTGTCTGATTCTCTATTTGTTAACTCTCCTTATTCATTAGAGCTGCATGCTCTAAGAGTCCATGAATTATGTGCAGTTTTTTCTTTGAAATACTTCAATGTGACTTTTAAATCCACAATTCCTTTAATTATTTCTCTTTACCAACAAAAGCATCCCTTGTTATTCTATATTTTTGAGCTGAGTGCTGTTGTTAAGCAGGTTTTATCTTTGACCCTTTAACTCCCAAGATCTGATCATTAATTCTCCCCTCTAGCAGCTACACATTTCCTTGTAAATTAGTCATAAGAACTTGGTGCTAGATCAAGATGGCAGCTTCTACCTGATAGTTTGAATGTTCTCATTACCTGTTTGCTGAATAATGTATGGATATTGTAGGGAGAAGATTTAAGTTAATCACTTCTGGGGGTTAAATGGTTAAGTAACTCCCAATTAAGTGCTAATTTCTCCTATGAGGTCCATATGGGGTGGGGTGATTTGGAGGTTGACAAGCAATAGAAATTGCCTTTCTGTTTTGAATGTATCAAAGTTATTACAGATTGGGTGTGGTAGTAGGTTGAGTGGTTTTATTAAAAAATCAAGAGGTTTCACAACAACATGCCAAATGTACATCAAGATTCTTTGGTCTGTGTTTTGGTTCAATCAAGTTTGTTTTTGGTCATTTTTCTTTCCTTGAGAAGAGGTCTTTGCTTTGTGCACACTGGCTCTCAACCTTAAAGATTGTACTTGACATTTCCAGAAAAAACATATACCAAAAAAGTTTAGGTCTACACTCTAATTCATTTGTACTAACTTGATGGCTTGATTGTCCCTTGTAGCTAATGTGCAATCCTTTCACACTGGATCCCCCACATTCTCCTATCGCACGGGATCCCCCACTTCAAGCCCACTCACATCAGAAAACAAACAAACCGTGACCACATGTAAGTGGAGTCTCTTATTTGAATCATGATTCAGGTCCATAATCTGTTCAAGAACAGATTCAGATACAAAGTCTGTTCAAGTCTCATCTAAGCTTGGTTCACTTTCCTGACTTAAAACTTCTCATGGTGGTATTTTTCTTGTGTTGCTGTAGAGTATCTTTGTCTTGGTGTGGGTGTCTAGGTGCTCGGAGTGACTTCATTGTCTTTGTGTTTTGGTTTGCAAGAGAGAAATGTTGGTGGTACTTGTTTTTGAAAATACATCTTTCCCATCATTTAAGTATTTGCTTCTGTTTAATACACAACGAATTGAATTGGTTTTTATTTCTTGTGTTGCTGTAGTGTATCTTTGTCTTGCTGTTGGTGTCTAGGTGTTCAGAGTGATTTCATTGTCTTTGTGTTAGGTTTGCAAGAGAGAAATTTTGGTGGTACTTGTTCTTTGAAAGTACATCTTTACAATCATTCATTTTTATACTCCTATTTAATACAGAACAACTGAAATGAATAAAATTTTTAGGTTTAGGTATAAAAAATTTATTACCATAAGTGGTATGTGCATTTTGAAAGAGTCTTTTCCAGTGTCTGTCCTAGAATTGATTTCATGAGAATGGGCAGACAGCTGAATGTTTTAAGTACTGCATTTATAATTGCTAAAATCAAAGAAACAAGCTTAGTTTTAAGTCTTAAAGATAAAGCAGCCATAAATTGCATTTATTCAGATGGAAAATATTAATTAAACGATGAAAGTCATATCCATCCTCAAAATAAGTTTTTTATAAAAACTATGACTTCTATTGACTCATCAATTTAAGTCCAAGCATTGCTTACTTAAAAATAACACCAAAAGTCAAACATAACATAACTTCTAAAGTAAAATTAGTTACATGTTCTCCATAGTCTCATTTTCTCTGTGCCACTTTCACTAATTGTTTCACCAGAATGTGTTTTTTTAGGTTCTCTCTCCACTATTTTCTTGAATTCAGATCACCATGCCTTTTTATTTTGTTTTTTTCTTAAATTACCACTCGTCAATTTTGTGCTCAAAGGAAGAGCTGAGCTTAAATAACATCATAATAATAATCTACTAACACAGCTCCAAATCTAAACCAGTAATTCATATCAAATTTCATTTATTATTCAGAATCATCTGTAATTTTGTAAGGTAAAATTCACAAACATTAATTTCCAAGAGTCACAATGAATTACTTACTTTATCCATTACAGTCATCGATTGGTATAAATAACTTGGAATCACAGCTAATTTCGTAAAAGGAAAAATCATCAACCATTTCCTTTTTACTTCAATGTTGCATTACTTGCTTTTCCATACAAATTTCTATATCAACCTCAAGGTTAAAATATTGAAAATTCCTATGAAATGTAGCTTTTTTTTCTGTTGAATATTTTTCAATACCCCTCTCCACTAACCTGTTAAGCTTTGTTATAGCTACTCCAAGTCGTCCTCCTTCTTCTAAATCACCATTTACTGAGGTTTCTGAACCAAAAACAACAGCACCTTGTAAGTCTTTGGATGTTTAAATCCTTTTTTCATGCGCGAACAACTGAAACACATGCGTACTCACAATTTATCTTCTCTAGAAACAATTTTACGCTGCACCTCTTCAGTATGTTTTACATCTGACATACATGTATCAGATATACAGAGGGGTTCTTATCTCGCTAAAGATCAGTGTGCATAAGTACAAGAAAAACATGAAGTCATTTTTAGATCTGGTAGTTAAAACAGAAACAATTATGCAATTATTTGCTAACAAGAGCAGATTTCTACCTTGGCTAAATTCACTTGAATACTCTTGTGTTATTTTCACCTAGGTTAGAAATAAGAAGAGAACAAAAGACCTCAATGATTGAAAGAAAAAAAAAATGAAAAAGGATGTCTCAAAAGAAACTATGCTCTTGTCAGATGGGAGTGGCACAATTTGTCCACAGTAATAGGACAATGACAAAGTTAACTTGACTTGAAAACCAAATCTGAAAAAAAATGTGATTTGTTGAGTCTCTCCCACTGTGATGGGTGAATCCCTTATTCCACCTTTGTCAAACATCATCCATTCACAAATGGCATTCATGATTCATCGTTCAACCTATCTCGTTTCGCTTCCTTTGATATTCTCCACATGTACACTACCTTTCACCCTGTTACCTTTGTCATCTTCAGCCAGTAATCTTGCCATAACCAAATATCAAATTCTTAAAAATGGTGAAAGTTGCATGTCCAGTCTCTGAATGTTCCTGATTTCTTTGAATCCGCTTCTAGCTTCTGTGAAACCAACTGCACTAACTACTCCTGGAGCAAGTAAGTTCAGCTGTGCAATGAAACAATTTAAGGGGGGCTTACTGATCAGAAGGAAACAAAGATAACTGATTCACTTAATGCTACGAAATTGTTTGGCTTTGTATTTGCTTTCAATCTTTAAATGACCTTTCACAGGGTAGCTAAGATCTAACACAAAAATTCTTTAAGGTTTTGATAAATTGAACACAAAATATATATATAACAAATTTTAGAAGAAACTTATGTGGCTAATTAAAAATGAAATGCAAGAGTACCAGAGAGAAAACCATCAAAAGTTCTAATCTGCAGACTAAGAATCAGTGGTTAGTTACTGTTTATCAATTGTAACTATCACCTTTCCTAGGGTATGTTTCATGTATAAAATAAAGTTAAGTTTACCCTTCAACACACCACTGATTTTAAGCTAAATTTATGAGCCATAGTTTTTTTCAAACATTTATACAATTCTATGATGATAATTTGGATTGTCACGTATCTGTGTGGATGACTACAATGTGGAAGTATTTCAAGAATTTCAAAACTTCGTAAGTTAACCCTTCCACTCCCAAGATCTAATTAGTAATTCTCCTTACTATCTGCCATACAATTCTTATGATGTTAGTTCAGAGAATTTGGTATTGGATCAACTAATAATCCCATGATTGATATTCTTCTCTATTCTCATCACCTGCCTGCTTGATATTGTATTGATGTTGTAAGGAGAAAGTCTGTCTTGGTCACTTGTGGGAGTGAAAGGGTTAATGGCCAGTAGGTTCTTTAGCTTCTAAAACAGCCTCTTAAGCTTGAATTAAACTAAAATATATGTTTAAGTTCATTTTAATCACTTGTTTTTGAAAAACATTCACTTTAAAATATCTTAAAAGCTGACATTATAGGTTGACAGGAATATACTAATATTTTGCTAGATTAAAAAGTTTTAGAATTTATTGTTAAAATATCATTTTAAAAATTGTTGCAAAGCTTTTGTTGGTAAATTAGTTATAAGTACCTCCTCTCTCAAGTAATAAAAGTTTTATTAGGTACACAGTAGCCAGAAAAGGGTTTCCAAATACTACAAAACTACCCTAATACACCACTCAGAGAAAATTAATGCTAACAAAATCTTTTACAGTAAATAATATTCAGCCTTCCTTTTTGCACAAAACAATAACATTTTTATCTACTCACAATAAAAATACAATATCCTGTAACATGCTAACCCTAGTGATATAATCATAGTCACCTTGGAATAAACACTAACCATTTGGCTAATATTGAAAAATTTATTGCAAAATTGCAATATTCAAATAATTAAAAGTCTTTGCATTTTGAAGGGAAATAGCATACAATGAACTAATCTGATGCAATGCATATAGATTGCATCTAATCTTCCACTTAAGCAAAGTGAAAATTTGCAAAATCAAACCAGCAAATCTTGGCATGAAGTCTTGAGCTGGTTTTGAACTAAATTCTACATGATTTTGAGGCATTTTACATCAATGCGACTTGTATTTGCAGCTTATTATTTTGGTGGTGAAGAAGACATCTTTATGTGAGCCTGAGTGCATCATCCACCCGCACAAGAAGTACTCAGCATGTTTGTCAGTACCATCTGCAATTTTAAGAAAATCTCCATAGTCTCTTCAAAACGCAGATGTCTTCTTAAAATGGAATCATCATTAGCTGCTTTCTTCAGTATTTCAATTTCCATCGCTGTGTTAATTTTTCAAGAAAATGAGGGGTTTTTCTTGTAAGCAACTGTTCCTTGACATTTTCCAAGAGATCTCCCGAAATGAATCCATTATTCTAGGGAACCCACTAGCATTGCAAGATTAATGAGCATTCAAAATTTATACGAGAATCAAAATGAAACAAAAGGCAGAATTTTACTCAAGCTTCTCGAAGTTAAATAGGGATTGGCAAACCTAACATCATACTAAAAAAACCTTCTAACCACACTTTGTAACAAACCAAACCTTACGACAAAACTGACCGAATATTGTGGCAGAAGAATTATTGGAAGTTTAGGAAAAAATTTATCAGAACAACTGACTGTTTAAAAGTTAGGATTTCGCGTATTCAGGTATTGAGAAACCCTTCAAGGCCACTGGGTATCTTTACAACAGTATGCATAATTAAGTACGTCTTAAAATGATTTATGAATGTGCATGTCACAAAGTTTAATTTCGAAATCGACTTCTTGACTTTTCGTATCAAAATTTAAATATTTTGTTTCCTTGTCGCAATTTTCCCAAACACCCAAAACCCTCTGGGTTACTGCATATAGTTCGCTGTAGTATACTCTAACTTATCCAACAACAGCCATGGGCCCAGACGACACGAAAACATCATCATCTTACCTCAACATTAGGAAATTTTCAGATTCCGCCATTATGAAATTCCCAGAATGCAGTTCTATCAGCAATCGACCCGGGGAGGGGTGAGGAATTATTCGCTAAATTGAAGAAGATAATCCCACGAAGGAACTCGGTTTTATAAAATTTTTCATCGCCTTTTTGTTTATTTCGACGGGGCTTGGACTTAGTAACATACTAACCTCAACGATTTTCTACTAACGAAGAGTTCAGTATGGTTAACATGCACGGAGTGAGCATGCTGTGGTCTCACAATAGTGGTTATGCTGTGGCTGTTCAAGAGAGAGTCAGCTTTTTTTTTTGAACGGAAAAGAAATATTTTTTTGGTTCATTTTCTTTTACTGTAGTGGATCCCAAAGTAGGAGCTCGTACTCAGGAAGGCCTTGGATCGGGTGCTATCGCCGGCATAGTGGTGGCTGTCATACTCATTGTCCTGATCACTATCGATCTGTTCTGTTGCTTCTTCAATTCCTGCGGGATCATCTTTTGTTGTCACCAGGCCTTCTGCGGAGGCGGCGGCAGCGATAAAGGTGTCAAGCCTGGCAAGGACGACTGTAAGTATTAACAGGACAGTTCTATAAAGTAAATATGATTGGGTGTCCAACCGTTAAAGCAAATATGTTACCATTTTTTTTTGGTCAAAATAGCGTCACAGAAATTCTTTTTTTCCCTTGATATAATCGTAAACTGAGGAAGCAGCAATGATGGTAAAATAGGGGAAAAGAACACCAAAATGGAATGAAAAGACCAAAAAGAAGCAAGGATAGCGACGAACAACAAATGTTCTCGTGGATTGCAAATAAAAATTTGTGAGAAATTTTTTTTCCAAAATGAGCCAAACGTGGGATAACTATTTCAAGTAAACCTGGAAATTAACTTAGAGCAATTTCTGCAAGTCTCCCTCCCTTCCTATGCTTGAGCCATTGATGTGTCCCTAGTTTCCTTTATATTCGTCACTTGGATTCGTCACGTAACGCCTACACTTCCCCACTCAAAGAACACGTTACGTGACAAGACACGTTACGTAACAAGTCCCTCTTCCTCAAGTCACGACATCATCATTCTTTCAGCTTTTTTACAAATGCTGCATTAACACAGCAGGTCAACGGCAACTTAACCAAAAGCAAGTCAAAGCCAAAATTTTTATATTTACTAGAACTGATAATAAGAATAAAGAATGTATTCTCCTTTTTGTCTCATGAACAGATAAAGATGGAAAAGCCACCGAAATGGAAAAGTGAGTACTATCTTTCCTATATTTTGAATTTTATTCAGGATTTGAGCATTCAGCCATTACAATTTGTGAATTATGTTGTGTTTCTAAATCATTTTCTCTACCGTTTCAGGACGCCATTACCGGAAAGTGTGTAGCTACTGAGCCAGCGTTAAGTTGATACAGCGGTAATCATCGGCACGGTCACGGGGACACCGGCGAAAACTTTTACTTTTCAAGTTCAATCGCTTTGTTACTTCAATAAAAAGTTAATTAGTGACAATAATAGACGATGAAAGACATCGTTGAGAACATTTTTATGAAGAGTATTTGTGGTTAACCATTTTGATGTTATTATATTTTGCTGCTTACACAGCTATGATTTTGCCGCTGCATGTGAATTATTTTTACTTTGGTAAATTATTTCTGTATGTTGTATTTTTTTTCTTTATTTCGCTATTGATACTTAACCCTTTCAGTTGAAAAGTTTTCATTTATTGCAGATTTTAGTCTTTGTTGAGTAAACTAACCTACCATCCGTAACGTTAAACCAAAAAAACGTAGACATGTTAGTGCAATTGAAAATTTCCAGTTAATCTGAAAAAAAAATGAGGCCTCGGAATCTTCATAATTGTTTCTTAAAATTACATTTTATCAACAATTAATGATCTTTAAATGGCACAATACCGCACAGAAGACTTCTACTTGACCTAATTCCATCGTTTAGCACAAACAGGAACTTTTAAAAAACTCTCGAGACTGAAAATATTAATTATTACCTTCCAGATTCCTAAACAAATAGCTTCGTAGCTCTGTCGCTTTCAAAATAATCATAGGTTGAAGTAGTTGTGATTGAGGTATGTTCCTTTTCCATTTGGTAAATTAATATATAAAAAAAATAAAAGATTGGTTTTTAATGCTTACCTGTACAATTTATATTGTCACTACTATTTTTTTTATGGAAGAGTAGAAGTGCTTTTTGTTATAACATGAAAACATTAAATCAGATGCTTTAACGAACGAAGAGCCTCTTTGGCAGTTGCGATGATTTTAATGAAAAGTATACTTAATATAGTTTCGAATTTTAGTATAATAATTGTAGAATTGTCTTCTTTTCATAAACCATAGAATTTTTTCAGATAACAATGTAGTGTTGTGCCTAAATATTTTATTTTCTTGGACAAGAAACAAAGAAAGTATCATTAAATCTTACGAAAAGGCCTCCTGTTTAGTGCATCTAAGAACGAAATACCATTCCTGTAGTAACTTATCAGCTTGCGAATAGCGCATTCTTTGATAATTCAGCTATTTAACAGCCTGTCACGTGATATTTGTCACGTATCTGTGTGAAAGAAAAGTTTCAAAAAGTATAAAATAAAACTAGATCCAAACACGATTTTTATAGTGTGTTTCGGTACCTCCAACAAATCTCTGCAACCTGTACACCTGCTCATTCATGTACCAGATATAAAGTTTTTTGACATTACATATCAAATGTCATACTCACTAACGTAATTCTGGGATAATTTCAAAAAGGTGGTGTGCAATCTAATGTATATAGTTGTTTAATTGTATGGTTTGGAATATTATTCTTCATCAGAACTTATATCCAAAACATAACGTTTCTCATTTTACATGCACGAACATTGCACCACACATAATCTCACATTGTTTACTATTTCACACTATAAACTTCACGATACATCACACTTTGCGCATTGTACATCACCCACTCAAAAATGGATAGACGAGTAAAAAGTGCAATGGATGTAATGCTATAAAAGCATATCTGGAAACAGTTAAACTTTTGTCGAAATTAAAATCTCTCATTCACAACATAACGTGATACAAGCAACACAGAGGTAGTAACTCTAACCCTAATAAAATCTAACCTTCCTAACGGAGATGACCGAAGTAAAACTTCTCCTGTTTGACTTAATGACCACTTACCTTTAATTTATCTTCTTTGACCTTATAATTTGTAGACTACCATTTTACATATTTGAAAATAATTCAGTCACTACGTTTCATCCACAAAAATCCTGCACTTTGGGAAAGTTCTTTTCCGAAGACTTGATATTCCAAACTAATTCTAAATCGGGGAAAGAATGCCGTTTTCCCCAGCTAAATGGAACAATACAAGAAAGAACAAAATACCAGGTAAGTCCCATTAAAGAAAAAACTAGCTTGCAGTGCAGGCGTCTTATTAATGCGAGCGATCGTTTATCCGGCCGTCCATGTTTGATTTGGAGTTAGAGTGGACGGTAGGGAGGGGGCGGGGGAGGGACAAGAGGACTTTGCTTCCCCACCCTCACCTCTCTCCTTGTTTTTGACCGTCTACCGCCCTCTTGGTACCAATTTTTTTTTCTCCCCAGCCTTTCGCTGCCATTAAAACTAAAGATGGCGGCAATAATTTTCGTCACGAAAATACTGATCAATCGCTCACCAAAATTACGCCTGCTCTGTGGGCTAAAATGAAACAAGCGTGTTATCTGGTTCTTTAAGTTCCTAAAATATTCTGCTCCTCCGAAAGGCGTATTTGGTGGAAAATGTTTAGGCTGGGAGTTTAAAGAGATATTAAATTTTTCAATAATTTGTTTTTCAGAAGTAGGGCAAATCCGTCTAAATATGATTACACTATAGGTGGCATACAATAATTTAGCTTCCTATAACCATAGATGTACTAACTCTGTTTTAACCACCAAACTTTACCTAAATGCACAAAAAAATATGGCTTTGCTTAACTTGAATTTCATGACAACTTAAATCGTTGTTAATACAACAATATATTCATACTAATCACACATGCACATCTGACACTACACCACTCTCACTAAAGAATATCTTGATTACACTATCACTGCTATCTTCTAATATTTTAAAAAAGTGTTGCTTATTTGTTTACTTAGCATATACAATACTATTTTGAGAATTTTTGCGTTCCATTTCTTATCAAACACGATCATTTACAAGATTCACTTTACCCAACAAGGCCTAGTCGTTCGGAGGCCTATTAGCACTAACCCAAGGTTAAATTTAAACCTGGGTTTCTTTATTCTTTTATTCACGAATGCTTTTGGGATAATTATTTGTATCCTTTTAGAGCATGCAATAATTATATTCTAGAAAAAAAGAATTCGACTAAATTCTTATTACAGCTTCCAGATCTGAAATCAGATTTCACATCAACCCTGGGTTATCTTAACCCAGCTTTGAACAACCTGGTCTAGGGTTATGGGTGTTGGTAGAATCTCTTATCACGGCGGGTTCGTCATCAGCCTCGTTTGGAAATTTAGGAGTATGCTCAGATGTTTTAGTATCATTCATTCAATGAACTTAAATCTACACGCGCTGCCATTGGTCGTTGCCTTAGGTCTATCACTTGACAAGCACACAGCTAACGTCATTAGAAAACTATTCTCTTTCGTTTGTCCAATCAACTCGCAGGCGAAAATTTTCCGTATCATGTAGCAAGTGAGGGCTTCGCAAGAATTCTTCCCAAGAGCTATTAACAGACGACTTAGTTCGACTTCAGTGAAGCGTAAAAAGCGACACCATTCGAAACAGAACACTGAAAGATAGTTCCAAAAATTGAACTTCCGGTTCATTGTATAAATGAAGTTTAAACACCTTCAGTTTGAAGGACACTGAAAATTTCAGTGATACTTCACGCTGAAACACCCCGTTCTTCCAGTCTGAGCTGATTCTCTTTGAGGAATAGATTCGTTATTTCACTTGCGAAAGGAATCCTAGTTTCGCTCAGTATTTGAGGTTACAATATATTGACAATAACATGGTTATTCGTTCTTGATCTTTCAGGTATAGTCGCAAAAGTTTTCAATAAACTTGGACCAGGCGCCATCGCTGGCATTGTGATCGCTGGGATTCTCATCGTTCTCATCGTGATCGATCTTTTCTGCTGCTTCTTCAACAAGTGTGGAATCTTCTTTTGTTGTCAACAGGCCCTTTGCGGCGGTGGAGGAGGCGATGGAAAGAAAGACGATTGTAAGTCGAATGATTTCATAGAGGAACTTCGTCGAAGTATTGAAAGTTTCGGGATTGTATCGGTTTTGCTTTGCTATACGCGCTATGATTGGTATAGAAAACCCACACCTCTGTTTTAACACTTTAACTCCCAGATCAAATTTGTAATTCTCCTTACTGTCAACCATACACTTCTTATAATATTTGTTCAGAGAATTTAGTATTGGATCAACTAATCATCCCCAGATTGATATTTTTCTTTATTCTCATCACTTATCTGGTTGACATTATATTGATAATGTAAGGAGAAATTCTGTCTTGGTCACTCGTGGGAGTTAAAGGGTTAAGGTCAATCATGCAGAAGTGAAGTTGAGGGCAAGCGTGACCTAGTCAGTAGATTAATATTTTGCCGTCTACAAAAATCGTACAATCCTTTCTTTAGCGTAGTTGTGCTGTTCAATTTCTTTATTTTTGTTGGTTTTTTTCAACTGAAGACTATGTAGAGCATTTTTTAGAACTATTTGTCTCCATTTCCCCATATAGATATGGATGGGAAAGCCACGGAAATGGAAAAGTAAGAACAATATTTGTTTGTCTATTTTTTGTTCAGTTTTTATGTCTCAGTGGTTCGTTTTAGCTTAGTATTGTCAACATTTTGTCTTCCAGGAAACCAATTGCCGAGAAAGTGTAGATGGAAAGCCTGCGTTTCAGAATATCAGCATGTACTTCCGGTGCAGCTTGAAGTTTGAAAGGGATTTTTAAGCAATCACAATGGCAACAGTCAGAATTATATCTAATAGTATTTTCATTATTTTTTACTTCAACTTCAAAATAAGAAAAGTTAGTTTTTATCTTTAACAGGAGACGAATTTAGACCCTTATTAGTTCACACGAGCTTGAAAACGTTTGTTTTCTTTCTGTCAGTAAGCCTACCGGATCCAACTGTCCACAACAAAGAATTTTAGGAAATGTTTAAGAAATGCTAAAGAAATGTATTGCTGTTTTCACGTAAAAGGATTTGAACCACTCTTTCGTGGATGGGGCCCTGGAAATAATAAAATGTAAGGTACATGCGCAGTTATCGCCCATGAAGTTTCAAAGGCATTTCTTGTGACGTGTTGGCAGTCTCTGCATGGGCAACTTATCACACTGTCATGCCCGTTGCCTTCGTAGCTACCTCAACTCTCTTCAGTTACATGTGCATCATCTTCATCTTCCAGCTTAAGAAAGGCTGATTGCTATCATAAAGGCTTCTTCTTTTACTTGGGGGTAGGATAACCCTACTCACGGGTAATTTACCCCCCCCCCCCTAAGAGTAACCTTACCCCCCTAGGATAACCTTACCGGACAGGGAAGCTTTCGGGTTGACCCTAGGGATAGGGTCACCCTTCTCCGTTCCTAATGGAACTTAAAAAAATAAGTGTTATTTTTAACCGTTTAAACGAGTAATTCTTGGTTCTCTTCCATGGTCTAGGTCTTATATTTAGAGCTTTTACCGAAAATTTAAGTTGCATTAATACTTGATTGTTATATTCCTTTCTAGTTAATATAATTTTTCTCAAATAAGCTTGTTGTGTCTATGTAATTTTAGAAATGACATCATTTCAATTAGGCATTTTATTATTGGTATTTCGTTTTCCCTTTAGAGCATAAATTTCTCAGAGTAATTCAAACAAATTTTGAAAAAGACTGAAAAAAATGATTTTGCGTTGAAAGAGTTTTCAAAAGTTCTTTTGAAAGAAAAGTTACTTGAATCTTGGGAGATGATAGAACGTGTTCCTTGCGCATGCTCAGAGACTCCAAAGGATCTCGAAAATCAAACGTTTCGCTCCATCGTCAAATTCAATGGGCATGCGCAGTAAAAAACTATTTTCGATTCCTTTATATACTTGTACCCGTGCTGATTAGCTTTTTTTATAAGAGTTTTTTTTTTCAATTGTTTAATTTCTTGAGACATTACCACGACATCTTTTTTTTTTTTTTTTTTTTTTTTTCAGTGTAATATCTGACATTATTTAAGAAGGAAAGTCAGTAAGATTTTGTCCAAAGAGGTTCTTGTCTTTAAACGGGGGAAAGGGCAAAAAATCTACTGTAAGTGGAATGGTAATTTGTAAGCGTAAATACATGTAAGAGAATTGTTGTTTCAATTTTCGTCCTCTTGGTATTCTTGTTGTTGTTTTTGTTGTCATTTGTTATATCAAGTGTGTGTAACAGTAAATGCTGTAAAGCTTATAATAAAATATTTCATAGTATTTTTAAATTTGTTACATAATGAATTCAAGTATACTTAAAAGCGACAACTACCCCTCTTCCATTACTAAGAATTAAGTTGCAGAGGTCAAATTTGGCCTCAGTACCATGCCAGATCGGCGAGAAAATAATGGTGGAGGTCCGGGAGGGAAGAATTAGTCTTCCGCCGTTAGTTTATTCCGCTCGCACCAACTTTTTTGATCGTTTCAACTTACTAGAAGCCTGGAACGAGCCACAGTTTTGGAAGGTAACGGTGGTGTTGCTGTGCTAATTATTAGCAATTCTGCGGTAGCATAGGACAAGAGAAAATAATGGGATCCCTTATTTCCTCTTGGTTTGGCTGACCTTTAAATCACAAACAAGGTCGTAAAATATTTCGTTTCAGTTTAATTTCCCCTGCCTTTTCTCTTTATGGCTGGAATTGTTGATCATAATGTTTCTTTCGCTATCTATTCAACGGACTGACGTAAATCAGGCCGTTTAAAAAAAATTGCTAAGGAAAACATATTCTTAACACAAAATTTCAGTGATCCTATTCTTGTTTTGATTTTGAGTGATTGCTACGCGCTAGGTTGTTAAATTTCATTGGCTAATAACATTTCCCCTATTTCAATGGCTGCTGAACTTTGTGATTTAAAGCTGCTTTCGGGCATGTCACGCCATACAGGTCAAATCAGGCAGATTCATATCGGCATCAACCAAATTAAGTAATAAATCAGGGCAGATCGATAACATCTGAGTAGTTTGGTCCTGTAAAAGTTAATTAATAAGAACGGTATGAAACAGCTTCATAAAGACTGTCTGTTGAAGGTCAAAAATAGAGGACCACCCACTCTTTTAGAATGTCAGGAAATCGACAGATGAACAAAAGCTATTTAAACATCATTAGCGCACAAGATTTAAGAGATAATTCACACCCACACATTTTTTTTTTTGGGTTGAATTTTTACGGAACACCGGTTGAAAGCACCGGCCCTACATATGTGAAGTACAGTGTGTTTATCTCATCGATCAAAAAATGATAGCGAGTTAATGTCATGGCAAGCAACACGACCATTGTTTTTTTTAAGTTCCTTATCTATTTAGTTACGTGTCCCATATTTGTAGGTTGTAAGATCTTCAAGACTCATACATATCGATTTTTACATTATTTTTTGGGGGTTTCAGATGTTGTTCTCATTCTGTAAACAGCTTCTAACGATGTAAAAAGGGAGAATGAGAGTTTTCTCCGCCCCTGATTCCCACGACCCGGGTGAGAGCGTGTTTTGTTAACCTATCTTCAAATTTTACGTTCTCACGGCGATATAATACCATTATTTTTTTTCTAGCTGTCCGATTATCTAATCAGTTCAGTTTAGCGCTATCATACACTTATCTGAAATTAAAATAATAATTTAAAAATGGTATTACTTCTAACAGTTCTTGCCAAGGAGTCAGAAATGTTTTATCTCAATAAGACTTGTCTTGTGATATCTCTGTAAAGTTGCCGTAGAAGCACGGGCGGGGGGGGGGGGGGAAAGGGAGGGAGAAGAAAGGAAGGGGACGGGTAGGGATGCTAAAAGGATGATTTGAGCTCTCCAAAAGCAAAGCAAGGGGGAATTTTACGATAGGGAGAAAAAAAATCGAAAACCAAGAGTTTTGGGGTTTAAGCCAGACCAAAAGATGCCTCAATAAAAATCAAATTCAGAGGTGCCATTTTATATTTCCAAATTTAAAACTAACCAAAATGTCTTATATAACAATAAAGACTACATAAACGCATAAAATCTTATCTTAAGTTCCTTACATTTGGTTACGAGAACTGCAAGAACTGCAAGAACATTACTAAAACATTGTAAAAGCTTATGTACCGATTTCCTTCAATGAGCGAACATTGAACAATATTCCTTACATAAAAAGCGCGTGCATTCCACGTGTTACTTCCCAAAAACATTCTAACGTAAAATATACGGGCTCAAATCTCTGAAAAAACAACCTTTGTAAATTTTGAGTCTCCCAAGGTCATTATTATCCTCTTGGCATTACGAAAAACCATTGCCTTCCTCTCAACCCCCCGGATGATTCAATACCAATGTCCTCGAAGATACCATTTCAAGGCGTTTTCTTTTAACCGTTGTTTGCTTTGGGAGTCAGTGGGCCGATTCATTTCACTAAGTTGCAGCCCTTTCTCGGTGTAAGACATAATTTGTGTTTTCATTGGAATTATCTTCCATTATCTAGAGGACTTAAACCGACATTTTGGTGCTAATCACGTTTGGACATCAAACTTGGCCTCTAATATTTCAATTGTTTTGATCGCTTCTTTTGTAAACAAGTATCCCCTTGACCAATCACATTAGAGAACCCAACAGAAAGTTTGGTAAACAAGATGAGGCGATTAAGGTCAATAATACCGTATTTAGGTAAACATGACACCAATTTGGACCTCCTTGCTTGAGGGAACTGCTTGGAAAGGGTTGAAGAACGTGGGAATAAAATAGGAAGTTGTTATCTTCTCTGTGCATTGGCCTCGTGCGGGAAATGTTTCTTTCGAGTAACCTCCACTCGAACGCCTTGAGACAAAGTTTATCTTCCTGGCCACGATTTTCAGCCTTTAGGAGACCGCGTGGAAGTTTTGAAAGACGCCCATGTCCCAAAAGCTTCATGATTGAAGACATTTTAAGGAAGGAAGAGCCAGAGAAAGGAGGATACCCTCGGCAAATAGGTGAGTCAACGAATGAAGTAATTTAGTAAACAACACAGCGAATGTTCTTGGAAACTAACAAGTTTGTAAATGCTCAGCTTGTCTTTGCGCAAACATTCTACGTGACCAAATATTCAGTTATTTTTATAAAAAAAACCCTGTTTTTATAAAGGAAAGACTAGAGGGCAATGCATTAGAATCATTTGGTATAAACTTTTAGACTGGCCCTCAGTCAAAGAAACAGTTAAAATTCTAGTATTGCGCATTAAATATTAATTTTCCCCTCCATGTACGTAAACACACAAATATCATTGAAGAGTAAAATGTCATTGCTCTTTGTCGAAAAGTATTAAATGACACTTGCTTCGAAATTAGTGGTCAAATTAGTGTAATATCCTGTTAGGTTAAGATGAAGGGATTGTTGCTTCCAAAGAAACGAAACTATTTTCCCCTCATGACTTAAAAGTGATAAGTGTATTTCTAAAGCCATATTATTTCTGACAGCTTGTCCATTTAATTTGACAATCGATTGTTTTTCCTTCTCAAACGTTGCCTTGTTCCGATTCAAACCCAGAAAAGATCTCCGTATTCACGTCGAAAAAATCAGTTCAATTTTTGTCCACCCGTTGAATGGTTACCTTGTGTTTTTTTAGAACTAAATACATTGACATCATGTAAATTTTCTTAGATCTCTAATTTAGCCAGTGTCATTGCCTTGTTTTAAAAGATCGCCTTAAAATTGAGGGATTGTACATAAATTTTTATCGGCGGGAAAATTTTAGAGAATGATGGATAAGGAAAGTGGAACACGGTTGAAACAGAAGCTGTTTTGTGACGATTGAATCAGTCCTTCATTGTTAAATGATTTTGAGACACTTGACTTCTCCAAATTCTTTCTATAGCTCACTGGTTTGGCGGTCCTGTTGGGAGCGGATTCGTAGAGCCAGCCTGCTTCCGTGAAGTAGTCGACCTCTGTGAGTAAATGAAATCTTATTTTGTTTCCTTTAGCTTCAGTTTTGTCCTTGTTTTAAGCGCTACAGGATGTCTCTTTTAACGAGGTCAAGAAGCTCCTCCAACAGTCGCCGTCTTTCTTTGTTTTCTGTTGTCCGGTTTACACGATGGACTTATAATTTTTCTTTCGGATGATTGTCTACACGGGCTAAATGACAGGAATTCAACAAAAATGCAAACGAAATTGATGACATAAACGCTAAAAACAGTATCAATGCGATGGAAAACCCCGCCTTACTTGCTTGAAGTTTCTTGGCAAAAATTTCAACCTTTGCAAGCTTAAGCGGGGAAATCAAAACTTGGCGACATTTCGTTGCCGCACTTGCGATTTAGTGCTCTTTTTTTTTTTTCATTGTTTTCATCTCGTTTAAAGGAAAACTGACCTGTAAAGCCCGTAACCTAGAGAGAAATAGCATAAACAAGAAAATAAATAGTCAGACTGAGGGCTGTGCACTGGCATAGCAAAAATTGCTCTAAATTTTCATTTAGTTCATTTTAGTAATCACTGCAGTTTCGATTACGTATGAAAACGTAACCGCATTGTTGTCATGTTTTTAATGAAGGACGAGTGCTGCTGGACGATATCCAGGCGAAGAGAGTTCTGGAGCGATTAGACAAACTGCATGCATTCATAATGTCGCAAGTTTCAGCTGTGAAAGGGTTACAAAGTTATTTTTAGTTTTTTATTTTTTATTTTTTTTTATATTCAATGAAAGGGACTTCGAGCAGCAACTGTGTAGCAACGACAACGTGTTGGAACAAAAGGCCTAATAAGCAGAACAAAAGCTCCGCTCGTGCGTTTTCAAATTTTGTCAATTTCCTAAACGTCCTCTGAAAAACAACAACGTGAAATTAATAAATGTTTTCTTCGTTTGGGAACTGAAATACAGAAGTAATTATTTCCATTTGTATTTGGGTTTAATCGCTGCCTTAACATAAGATCGGTTGCCTCAAGAGTTAGTGAACACATCGATCCCTTGGTGAAATTTACGGAAAAATTTAAATCAATTTTTTTTAATCAACATTTTCCTTGACTGCTAAAAATTCCAAATATTATTCAAAATTTCTTTGGTAAGAGGAAGAGTGATAGGCGGGCACCAGAAATATTAGAACGACGTTTATCTTATGTTTACTCAGGATCATATCTATAGAGTGCTTGATCTGTCTTGTTAACGACGGGCGCGTTATATTCGAGACTTGATGATAGGCCGATATCAGCCGGCGCTATCTTGGATTGTATTGTACACCAAATCGAGGCGTGCCCGTCCAGCCTCAATATGGCACGTGACACGATTTAGTGGCGAAGCGCGAGATCGGTGTATTGCTTGGTTTTTACAGTATCTTTTTTAAAATTCCTGATTACTGTAACTTATTAGACTATGAGCGCTCTGATTGCTGTAACAAATTAGACTATGAGAGCGAGATTTCTCTAACGCGTATCAGTCGACTAACTAATTAGTAGTCGAAGCTGACTAACTAACAAGCATAGAAATCGAGAGCGAATAGTGTAATTGTCTAATCTAATCGTTCAAAACTTAATAAGACAGGCTCATGTTTTTATGGAATACTGATAAAAATAGGTAACACTAAATGCTATTGACTATTCGTCACGAAATAGAGAGGCTGTACCATAGTTCATCAGATTGCGTCTCTGAAATTAGTATGGTTCCGATTGCTGTTACAATCCGTAGCCTAGAGGAGGCCGTGACTAAGGTTAAACGCACACTCCTCAAAGATCGGTAAGAGTTTGGATTCATAGAGGAATACTTCAGAATATGATCAGCTCTCGAACTTTTGCAACGTTCATTCCCCTTACATTTGTCCGTGTCGCAGCAAACGTACATCGCAGCTGTCCTTATAAACCAAAAAGAGCCAGGAGTCCTTGGATTCATGAAGGAAAAATCCAGATTCTTAAAAATGCGTGCATGCAGCATTTGGACCTCGAAGATTTATTAATACGTTAAGTTACTCTAAGCAAGCTTAATGAAGAGTTCACCTCGTGGAGAACAAATCTTTATTCTGTATTTTATTTTATTTAATTCAGCGTCATCTGAACCAAGCCAAAGCAAGACCGCTGTCATTTGTCCAGCGCCAAAATATTTCCGCGCCATTTTAGACGAGAGCCGTCGTTTCCGAAGGACACGCACTGTGTTCACACGCGAACAGCTCAAGGCCATGGAGGATAAGTTTGATCAGGAAAAATATCTCTCCACTCACGGCAGAAACGAATTTGCACGTCAGCTGAAACTGACGCCTCTGCAAGTCAAAACCTGGTTCCAAAATCGTCGAATGAAATGGAAGAAGGAGATGCTGAAGAAAGATCCAAAGGCAGTCACTACACGATCAAAAGGCCGCCCGAAAAAGGACGAGTTTTGATTCAGTGGTACAAACGGAAAACACAAGGATTGTCAGAAAGGAGAACTATTAAAGTTGTCGTTCATAAAATTTTGTTTTTAAGTGTCCGTAGTCGTATTCTATCTGTCCCTTGGCGCATGTGCTGACAGCGACATTATGCTTTTGCTTTCTATAGACAGTGATGACGTATTCAGCAACGTTCTCTATAACTGGCACACGTATTCAGCAACGTTCCCTATAACTGGCACACGGAATCTGACGACGCGCCTTCTCGAACGTCGACAGTCCTGAGAAAAATTCTAATTTCTAACAAAACATTCGCGTTGGGTACTGCGGTGTGTTGCATTTTTAGTCGATAAGTGTTGATTTTTGTAAGTTTAACAAAAAATGTCCTTATTTGAAGTAAACCGCCGGCAAACCGTCGGCAATATTATCAAAATGAGTGTATATTAGTATTTCAATCACAAAACAGTTTTTAAATAATCTCCATTATTTATTACAATATGAAACAAATATCTCCTCCAAAAATTAAAACTATACATTTTCCAGGTAGATAACAGAAGCACTACAGATTCATATGGATCTCTATGATCCTCACTGAAGTTGTGCCATCACCGCAAATGCTCTTAGAGGTGGTTCACTTTCTGAGTAACTTTGTTTAAATTTGTGATACGATAGAGTTCATTGTGTGAAAATTAAAGAGTCATCCGAAAGTATGAAGCTTGAATTACCAAAGAAAAGAACGTATTTAATGGATGTTTCAGCACAAAGAGCAAATTCCTCTTCATTACTTGATATTGCAAGCTCGAAGAGTGTGTTAGAAATGTGAAGATGGCAATATTTCCCTCAGCTATGGATCTTCCTCAGCAGATTCTTGAATCTCTGCGGGCTTCGTTTCTTCTTTTAATTTCACTGCAAGTAAAGAACCAAATTTTAAATTTCCATCCCATGAATGTCTACCGACTTCCAACACTACGTCACGTACTAAAACCAATCAGAGCACGTCAAAACGTGACACGTGAATAGGGATTCTACCAGTTGGGGTGGGGAAGGTGAGGGACATTTAGCTGTCTTGTCAAGCTAAGAACCTTGTTATGGGAATCAAGAATCCTGTTCGGCTTTCACCATAGGGTGTTTTGACAAGAATTATTTTTGTTTCGTTTTTCACTTTCCTTAAAGATATTTCTTGAGAAACCACTTCTCTAAATAGATATCGTTTCCTAATCTGATTCTACCCTCACAGGAGAATATTCTCTTGACCCTCATCAACTCAACCAGCACAAGTAGAAATGTTTACTTACGAGTTTATTTAGACTACATCTAGGGAAGAAGTGTATTTGTTGAGTTAGCTGGGACGTGCCAACTGACTATGAAAATTGAGAGTTTTCGGAAACACAGCGGTTAAACGTCGGGCATGCGGTAGTGGATCAATTTTCGCAGGACGCGCGCCAATTTCCCTCGTAACATTTTAAAGGAAAAGATAACGAGCATAGAAATGTTTAAATGGAAAAAAACTAGGAAAAAGAAATTTACAGTTTACTTACATTTGCCATATTTTTTGTGTTTGTTCCTGAAACGTATACATTTTTTCAGGACTCCCTTGTTTTTCGTCACGAGACATATGACGTCAGCAATAAGCAGAAACAATGAAACGGCTATGGACAGGATTATTACTGATAAGACCAGTTTGTCTGTGAATTAAACGGGGAATAATAAAGAAAATTAGCACGTCTGAGGATGGAAGAAAAAATGAAGATGGTGTTTAGTATGCAGGAAACACGCTGATCTAATAGCTAACGCGCCGGACCGAAGCCGAGTAATTACGTTTTGTTCTAGGTAAGACACCTTACTATCACCATTCCCTCTCCAATCTGGAATATATCACGGGTAGGGGTAACCAGCCGCGGAAGCCCAACCAAATGAAGAGACTGGTTTCTTATTTAGGAGACGTGAAAATATTTCTCATCTCTGGTTGTCCCCATTGAAAACGCTCTACGTTGCGGGACGATATTCAGTAAAATAAAAATAATGAACTTTCGGGAAATAAAAAAATTTCACATGATAAATATTGATATTCATAAGGGGATAACTTGTGTCACTAAAAGTCAGGTATACTCTTGGAGACTGTAGACAGAGGGACAAGCAACGAGACCCCTGAATGTGGCAACGTAACAGTTACTCGAAAAAGAAGTAAAAAGACTCAAGGAAAGTGGAGAAGAAAGGATCGAAGGATGGGACGAGACAGAAGAGTTTACCTTTTGGTTCCTTACAGTGCTTTCCATCGTGATTGTTAAAAGCGTCTGCGATCTTGTGTCCTGATTGGTCGACACACCAACATTTTTTCAAGTGGACAGAACATTGGATCATGTGATACGATCCATCATCATTGCATTTAGGCAAGAATTCTAGTCTCAGTCGGGGATCACCAGCCAACAATCGGTCTCTTTGGCACTGGGTGATGTCTAAGAGAAGAGAGTTTGAGTAGTTTTCACGTGAATATCGAAAGTAATTTTGGAAAGCTTTACTTCGCTATGTAATGGCCCCAAAAATTTTCACTACCCTTTCAACAAATCCCATGTAAAATTAAATACAAATCGCGACTTAGTCACTCGCCTTTTGCCACATTTGAGACACGGTGTTTGATTTTCATTTGACTTCTAATTGGCTACTTCTCATATTTTTTGTTGTTCTTTTTAGCCGTACTTGTAACTTTGCTTTCTGGTAAATGCGCTCTAAAGATGGAAACAAGCTCGAGGGTTCCAAACAATTAATTCAGTTGTTGCAAAGTACTCACTTTTTGATTTATCCTCTCTTAGTTTTATTTTGATTTGTTGAAATCCCAGTTTGTTTCTCGCTTTGCATCGGTACTCTCCAAAATCGCTGTCACGAAAGGGTGTCACGCGTAACGTACTCAGCCTAGGTGAGTTCTCCACTTTCTGTACACAAAAAGCGCATTTATCCCCTAGCTTCTTTTTTCCCTTCGTCCAAATCACCTTAGGCGGTGGATGGCCGTCGTAGAAACATTTCAACGTGGCTTCTTGACCCAGTTGAATCGCTTTAATTTTATCTGATCTGCCTTTGTCGATTCGAGCAGCCTTCTCAAACAATAGCGAGACTGAAAGGTGAAAAGAATTATTAAAAATTAGCCACAATTTTTTGTCAACGACAAGCCTATCAGAATGAAGCAAAATTCTCAGGGAACATCCTTACAAAAGGCGTGAAAACGTTGCTAGTGTAACAAGGCACGTAACCTTAGAATAAAATTAAACTGCTGTTAAAAATAGTTAACGGTAAAGGAGAAAAATAATCAGGAAGTTTATCGGTTTCGCACCACACCTTGTGATTTGTTCAAAACTCTTGTGGCATCCCTTTCGAATGATCAGATGAAAAAATTGAAACCATCAGCACTTTGCCACTCGTACTATTGGGTTCGCTTGTTTTTATTTTGAGTTCTCATTGGCTCTCTGTAATATTCCCCTATGTTCTGATTGGACCTTGCGATTTTACCTTACTTCGCAGTCTGATTGGTCCAGAAATCTTACGCCACTTTCTCAACAAATCAGATTCAAAACTGTAACCAGCCGCGACTTGGTTAATCGCGTTTTCCCGCGCTTCAGGCAGTTAACCTGTTTTTACTTTACTTATTTCTCGCCAATTTGTTGTAATCTTTTCCTTTGCTCTGATTGGTCGTAGTGTTAACTTTGGTCGTTGTTTTGACACCCAATTGAAAATTGTGCCAATTTGACTTTGGTTTTGCAACACTCAATCGAAAAGCGCACTGTAAACCCGAAAGATGCGAAATTGTCTAATCAAGGTTTTTTTCTCTCACCTGGAGACAAACCACACAATAGCCATAAAACGAAAAGCACCACTTTCATCATGAAACCACATTAAGAAGGTGAGGCAGCGAAGAGCAGAGCCCTATCAGTAGTAGGCCAAATGCATCCTTTATGACGCAACAAACGCAAGTTCACAGTTTGCGTGCCCGCAGAACGAACCTCGCGCGTGTTCTGCGCCTGCGCATCACATAGTACCCCGATCGATCCATTGTATTTTGCAAAGGAAAGTCAAATTATGCCAAATCTCGAGAAACAAATTTATATCACTTGGGAGATCTTCAAAATAATAAGTTTGAAAAGCCGAAGAGAATTTAGCACCAGTCTCGGAAACCGTGTCTGACTACGTCAGCTTGGAACCATTCTGCAGTCACGTAATCGAAGCGAAGCGAAGAAAACTTTGCTTTAAAAAGTCACTTATATTTTTCTTTAGAATTTCGTAAATGGCTCTAAATGTTTACCTTCTCTATCAGCACCAGACCCCATCTTCTCTATAACCGTTGAAGTTAACGTTTAGTTCCAACAAGAAACTTGACTGAATAATTTGCTCCCGGTGAACTCGATCTTAGACTGCCCACAAGTTGGTAAGATCCGGGGGATGTTTTGCAGAGACCGGCCGAGAAGCGTCCAAAGGTTAAAAACGCACGTGCAAGCTATTGTTCCACTTCATTTCAAATTCTTTTGTTCGACTTGTTGTAGTTATGTCATCACCGTCTTGGTTTGCTGAAAGTTCCTGATAACGTTCTATAAATGATATGCGCATACGAGATTACCAGTCCTTCGCTAGGCCTGGCTAGGAGGGATGAATTTGACGCGCGATAGGAAGTCGTAAAAGGGGACTGAGGAAGACTCAATGGTATGAGGGGCGTATCTCTTCGTTTTCTGCCTTGTCTGCAGTGAGCACTTTAGCAAAAAGGGAACCAAAAAGAAGTATTTCAAGTGTACGATTCATGGCAGTCAACATGCGCGCGCCACGCGCTCAGAAGGATATGTTTCGATCCGTACACGTGTATGAGAACTACAGCTCCACGCTCCACAGGATGTGGTTGAAGTCTATAAATATTGTATAGTATAGCCCCACTTACCGTAGACTAGCCCGGGGCTATGGTTTAATTGGTTTCCTGACATTTTCGTTAAATAGGAGATTATACAGCTGTTAGGGATATGACTAGAAGCGACTGAAATGACTTTTAAAGTGCCATGACCTTCTTATTCGCGAAGGCATTTTTTCGAAACGCCAATTTAAGAAACGGAAGTTCCTTGCAGTTAGAGGCCCTGATCAAAAGAAAAGAGAGAACAACGGAGAACATAAAATCATTTGACGATATTAATTGTGAAGTGCAGTGACAAGGCGATAAGATCTTGACGTTTAAAATGAAATTCGCCTTGAGTATTAGATCAAAAGTCTTTACACCAACAAAACCCTGTTTAACATCGAGTCTATTACACTGACTATGGATTGTAATGGTAAGGCGACAAAAGTTCTTCAACAGCAGTACAGCGTCCGAATCAAGGTCTCCTTTACCATCGCATCTAAACATACAAAAACGCAGATCAACGCGAGATGTAGCTGTCATGGCGTCTAATGCATTGACGGCGCCGATAGTAAGTGATGCCTGCGCCGGCTCGTCGCAGACTACGCACGAAAAAAAAAGATGTTAGCGATACGCCTAAAAATATAATTACAACGCCTACCCACTCTAAGGGAGTATGGTATTAATCTATTCAATCAAAATTCTTTTGATCAAACGGTAGACAACCCACCTTTATCCAATATCACAAATCAACACATCACATCGCGCTGCAGGCGAAAATAAGATCATGATTCTCATTAAATCTGTAAGTGATGAAACATGATCTGTTTGCAACAGTAGACACTTGTCGACCGTTGCAGCGAGTTGCTTTCGAGTTGCTGTGGTCAATCCCGTTACGATCGTTTTGAGTAGCTGTTGAGGCTCTCGTGGCGAGTTACGCGCGTCACGTTCGGGCTGCGTTTGTCATCTATAATGCAAGTGCGTGGCAGACGCCTTAGTCACATTGAAACATGGACAAATCGTTTTCCACTCTTATTCCTAGCTTGATGAGCAAAGAAAGGACTGAGGGAAAGTCAGCGGTTTCGCCTCAACGTCCTGTTACCGAGAACTTCCTCGATTCACCTTGAGCCGACACCATCTCCTACAGAGAGCTAACGCGCGTGAGTTGGGGTCCACGTTGAGATTATCTCGTCACAATGTCGCGCATTGCTACATTGGATGCGCAGACTGGATACAATGTAATCTCGATTTCTCCCTTCTATTTTGAGCTAAAAGAAACCAGCTGGGTTACGTGAATCATTCATTTGGTGAAACATGAGATCTACCCAACTTCCAAAATAACTTTCTCACAGAAAACCCATGGCATATGGAGGAAAGCATTTCCAAGTTTGCTCCAGGTGTTCGTGCTCTAACAGGCAGCCTAAACTTGCATCAACGAGGAAAAAGATAACTCTTTACAAGAAAAAACACTTTTCCCCCGCATTTTCCTGCATAAAAAACTGTGTACCCTGTTTGTTTCTCCTCAACAGATTAAAAGCAAGCCTTTTCAACGGTCTGGCCTGAGACTTGAAAGGTAAACCGATTGTTTCACGCAACGAAAAACAAAGAAAACTTCATTTGTTTTCCGCAAGGGGGACGCATGTCTCAGCGTGAAACTGAAGTGGGCACATACGCCAAATTCAAGAATGCCGTCAAATGAAATTAGACACCCTACAGAAACGTGTAGAAAAATCACCATTACTGAAGTCTTTCATTGGAATTAATCATTTCAAAAGGTCTTCTCTACTTTCAATGATATTTTGAGATTTACTTCAGCTATTCAACTATCTAGTTATAAACATTTATATCTAATAATCTATTGGATATTGTGTCAAAATGCATAGTATCATCAAAACACAAAATCGTTATAATTCATCACTTTACCTTAGCTTTTGACGGTCAATTATCACTGTTGTTTATAATTAAACGGATTGTTCCATTTCCCAGAGAGGTTTGATTGCTGGTTCGATAACAGATTGTAATCCTGTTACTATGGCTGTCAATTAATTGTCAAACGTACCCGATCGTTACAAAGAAGAATCGATCGATGACTATACACAGACGTTAAATCAATTAATAGCCTGTTGAAAAAAAAGAGAAGGTGGGCACAACATCTGTAACATTTTCTTTAGAAATCGAATCGAACATACTTTTAAATTGCTGCTAATAACATGCTGCTGAAATCTTTTCTTTTTTTCACAACAATACCTTACAACATCTGTCATATCTCTGAAATTTTGCCGCGAAAGTGGCCCGAGATCACCAGATCACTCGCATGACAACAAAAATATCGGCTTTTCTTTTACAACTTAAAAGCTAGACTAAAAAAAAAAAAAGGTACATTGATTAAAGTTTACTGTTATAATCTTAAGTAAACTCTGATTTCAGTTCTGTTATTTACAAAGTAAGCTTTTTAATCGATTATTTGATTTTCCAGTGGTGGATCCGCGTCGTCTTGTACTTTGTGCTCTTTCAACCATGGAAAGCGACGCTAACAAAATATTTTGGCCAAAACTAAACTGAATCGATGACATCCGCTCCGCGAAAGAAGCTGTGCACGAGAGCATTAAAAGAGAAAATAAAACTTGATTTTCTGTAGAATATACAGTACGTCTTGCCGTTACACGTTACTCTCTCACTATAAAAAGCGGGAATTTTTCTTTGTACAAACTCAAACATTGATTTGTCTGAAGGATAATAATCTCACGGAATTCGGTTTGCTGGATGTAAATTTACATCGTATGCAATAACCCACGAGAGAAGATTTTTAATCTCGACGCAGATAACTTGCGACCCAACTTTACAGTTGCAAAATTTCAGACAAACATTTTATTACGGTTCTATCAACGTCGAGCTCTCTTAGCCTCGTAAGGTCGCTTTATTACCGAAGTTTTGGCTCTTCTTTCTCTAGAATTTCTCTGTTTCACGCAATTACCTAGAAGGAGAGAAAAATAATCTCTTAACAACTTCGCTTGAAATCTGATTGACCGTCTGTGTAACTTTAAGTATTAATAATGACACAAATAACAATTTAAAATTCACCTGCGACTTTTTTGTTTCTATTTCCAGCCGGCGCATCGCCAAACTCTCGTAAACGTTTCCGCGAAGGGTCGATCGGTACGAAACCACTCCTTGGAATGCTTTCCCCTTCTCTGCCTCTAGTTCTTAGATTATACCTTGCGGCAGAGTGGGTAGGATCGACAATGTTTTGGCGACAGAAATTTTCGGAAGATTCCGTGTCACACGTAGAAATCCCTTCGGTTGGCGATTTACGGGTTTGTAGTCTCTTTCCAACTCGCTGCCACTTGAATCTACCTGAAAGCGGTTGACAATTCTCAAAATCAAAATTCCACTGGCATTTCTTTTCTTCTGACATGTACTTTAACTCTCTGGCTAAATCGTCTCGAATTTGCTTATGATCAACTGTTCCAAAGAGGTTTCTCTTGACGTCTTTGACGCGTCCTCTACCCGCGTCACGACTGACGCTAGTCATAGTAGAGGATTAGTATTCCAAAATCGGGTGCAATACAAGTTGGCTTTTAGCAATTCTCTTCGAGCACAAACAGTAATTCTACGCTTTGCTCGACTTGACAGGTAGGTAAACCTTCGTAAGATGTGATTCCATTCACCAAACTTCCTTAACTTGCAATCCAAACGAGAAAGTAAGCGTAGTAGATGTTGCGTAGCGATGGCGTCGCTCTGTCAAAATCTTGCTCAACGGTAGTATTTTCTATCTTCCCTCGAGTATCAATACTTTTCCGCCAGAGGCACAATTTCTATTGTGATTACAATCAAATCAAGAATGCTGGATTTTTCCAAATTCCACAAACACGAAGTATTAAATAATTCTGTGGCACAGATTGTTTATATTAATTGCAGGGACGAAAAAATATAAAATTTGTAAGCGTCCCTTTACTAGAATCCCGCCACGCCGTAAGAGGCCACGCGAACAGATTAGCCCGAGATTTACTCCCAGCCAATTAAAACTTGTAACGTCACAGTTCTATCTATTTAAAGTGACAGATATGACAGCTTCTGTACAAAGCAGTCTTTGTTCTAAGGTTTTGTTTACAGTTGACGCCGTCAAAAAAGCAACTAGGAAATTGACTTTTCGAAGTTATAATCGAAAAACACGGATGTTTTTGATGGGGTTGAAAAGAATGGTAACACTTTAGAGTAATTACAAGTGAGATTGCTGTTTGAAGACAATAAAAACTCGTCCGTTTAAGATGGGCGCCAATGGAAAATAAAGCGTCGTTTGCAATATGATATCTGCTTTCAAGCAACACATCTGGTCTAATTCGAAGTAGCGCGAGTTAAAAAATCTTTGTCTTTATTATTGATTTGTAATTCCGAAAATTGGTTAAGATTGAGCATCTGTTTGCATAAGCAATTCCGTGAGATTTCAGAAGATGTTGCTGAGAAAAATACTCGATGAAAAGTGGACGGTTGACACGATTTGACATGATGCAAGCTAGCACGGGTTTTTGTCAGGCAGAAATTGGGTGTGAACGACATCAATTCACACAATTTGTGGAGTCAATATTATTTGATTGCCTTTACACCGTATTTAAAGTTATCGATTGCGTAACGCAACCACAGAGAACTAGATTGTCTAACTAGTCATGCGCTAAGTTCAGAATTTTGTCTCAAAATGATAAAAATGGTAGTTATGAGACATAATTTGAAGCTCAAAACCCTTGAACAACTTGTACAAAATGACAAATAGCAGTAAGTGTCTGTATTCTCTTATCAATTGTTCTAAAAATGATTGGTATCAAAAGGAAAACAACGTCACTGGACAGTGGCGAAATGTAAGTTGTTTATCAAAAACAAACACTTCAACGTAAAAGTATTTTGTTGGACTGACGGTTTCCAAAGACACAGCAATTGCTAGATCTATCCAGAAGATTACACTAAAAATTTCATTTTTAATGCTATCAAACTAATCTTTAGGCTGGCTCTGAACGCAACGCAAGTTACTCGCAAAGAAATTTCCGAGGCGCGAGAATTTTTACCTCTCTGAAAGCGTCAAAGTGAACCGGAAACAGTGCCACGCGAACGACAGACTTTCGCAAGTATGAAGTTTGGTATGCCAGCTGAAAATGACTAATATTGAACAAATCTTTTACACACCACTAAAAAATATTACTTTGAACTTCGCTGTTTGGTTACTTTCTACCGCAGTTACTAAGTTAAGTAAAACAGAGAAGGAATGAAATTTTCTTAATGGAAAAATCAGTTTCGTCCACATTCAAAGTTTTATTCAAAACGAAAAGGAAAACGATTCTTTTATTTTGATATGCTGGCCTACTGTTCTTAAAAATTAGGAAAAAAATGAAGAAATATTGAAGAAGTCTGAAGGTTTTCGAAAATCTATTGTACTGAGTCACCTTGTTTAGAAAAAACTCATGATCGGAAGCGTGCCCGCGGGAGAGCGTGACAGTGATGAAGCGTGACAATATTCCGACCAGTCAAGAGGAAAATCGAAATGGTTAATATAACATTCACTAAGCGATTGCCTAATATCTACATCTAAAGTTCATTTACGAGCCAATTGCATAGTACAGTTGAACAAGTATTTTTGGGGCGGTAAAATTCCGTTTAGGAGTTAACGAATAAATTATGTTTCAAAACATTTTTACAGGCATTTCCGCTGGTAACATTTCTGATAAACAATCACGAAAATCGAACATCAAGCCATAAAAGGAAAAGAAAATGAAACGTTATGCAGTGAAAGATGAACAAAGATGCTAACCTCTTTCGGAGGCGCTCGCTTGATCAGCTATGATTCAGTTTTACTTTCAAATATTTAACTCATATAAATTAAGTAAATACAAAACTGAGCCCTCGTAGATTAAAATTATAACAATATACGCGTAAAGATGTACGACTTATCTTTTTTTGTATCCGAATTCACTGGAGTATTTAAGCCATCAAATGACTACCTGCTTCTATGTCTCTAAACGATATGCAAATCCAACTCTCCTCGACCGCACCTGCTTAAGAGTTTTAGGGAAAGTGAAACGTGTTGATGACATTAGTGATTGTTTTACTCAAGGCCTCGAATGGCGAGTAATCGGTAACTCTTTCTGCAATTCAAAACGCAGGAAGAAGAAAATTACGCTAAAAATCAAATAAAATTCATCGGAGACACCTGATAGACACTCACAAGTACTCTACAGCGTTATTCTTTGAGGAAAAGACAAAAATTGGTTGTGTTTTTCCGCTTATTTCCGGTCGAATCAATCCTTGGACGCACAAGGTCGTGTTGTACCAACTCTGACAAAGTTGCTTCCTGTTAGCAAAGCACGGGCTCCGTACAATCCCGTTTGATATCCGCGCCGTCCACAAGCAGAAACATAAACAACGAAGTATCATCTGCCATTTTTCGGCGGAGTTTGAGGAAGCTGTGAGTATTTATCGGCTGAATTCTTCGCAACTTCCTTAACTTCCTCTTTTTCCGCAGCACTGCTCTCTCCAACTTTAGAATCGTCTCTCACGGTTTCAACCGACCCAACTTTTTCCCATTGAAATGTTCCTCCCTCCTTCGGTACCCCTTTCTCGAAATCGAAATTCCATTTTTCGTTCTTCTCTTGTACATCTTTCTTTAATTCCTTCTTCAAATATTCATCCAGTTCGTTGTGATCTGGTCGCCCAAAGAGGCACTTCTTTGCTTTGCTCTCTTCGGGATTCATCGAAGAAAACGACGCATGCGGTGAAAGTGAACACAGTACTGAACTTTAGAATTTTCCTCCTGTCATGCCTAGTTAAGTTCTTTCTGGGGTTCAAAGATTTTTCATGTCGCAAGAATTTATGCAAACGCGCGAAAAAGGTTACGTCACTACGTCATCAGCTGGTATTTACGACTAGTTATTATAAATACTGTTCGGGCAAGTTTAGACACGTTTTTTACCCCGCTTCAAACACGCCATAAAAGGCAAAAATATAAACATCACGTGGATTATTTCTGTGTGTATGTGTGTGCCTGTCCGTCTGTCTGTCGAGGTGAAGTTGGAGAGTAAAGAATGCAAAATCTATAACGAAATAGCTGCCAGGTGCACATTAAACGTCTAATCAGCAACTTCATCAACTCCCACGCTTTCCCACAGACACCGCACGATATTCGTCGGTTTACTTTCACTCTCACTGTTAAATTTTTTCTCCCCTCATCGTGTTGAGAGCTGCTTATCGAAGTAAATTTCATGGAGGGGAAAAAATTTCGATTCGAAACCGAAGATCATGCAGTTCGTGGGAAAAGTCACGAAAATCGACGGCTTCCGCTAATATAGTAGTTACATGAACTCAGAAAAATCAAGAAACATAAGATATAAGAAGGCACAATTAATTCGACTTTCCCGTGAAGTGATTCATAAATCTTTGCTTGAATAGGAAAAAAGTCATTGAAAAAATTTCGATGTTTATGGTGACTCTTCAAATGGATTTGAACCGGAAATATATAAACAAAACTGTTTTGCACAAGTGCTTGAAAACTTGACTATGACAGTAATTTAGACGTACGTATTTGCTTTTCTTGGAAAAATAGATGTTAAGAAGAGTGAAGCGTATTTACGTACAGTACAGTACGTGTGTAAATAACGCATGGAAGTAACGTCTGTTCCGCGGGGTCACGTTAATTTGATCACTCTTTCTCGATCATTGAAATTATTTTTTATCACGGCAATGAACTCCAAGAAGTTAAAAAACAAGATTAAAATTTTACTATGAAATTAGAAATAATTGAGACTTAATAAACGTCAGCAAGGTATATAATCATTATCTTCTCTGGTGGAATATACGGATAATTATATCATACCCAAGCAAGTTTGGACATGTTCCTGACCTTTGCCATAGAGAAATAATTGTTGCTCTTTAAGAGGATTTAAAAATAACTGTTTCATAAAAAAAACATTTACTAGGGCGCTTTGGCAAAACTGCTCTAGAAACAAGTCTAGACAACTGGCTTTTAATTTGCGCTATTTTTAGCAATCTGATGGACATGTATGTAAACACGTCAGAGTTAAAAAAAACCGAGCTGTAGAGACCTGCCAGATTTCTTGTGCGACTGTAAAACAAGGGCGATTTATACATCTCTGAAAAAAAAGGTTAACTCTCTTCTTATGACTTTCCTGTGCTTCACAGACAATGGAAAGTAAAAAACACAAAATGCTCTGTTCATGAACGCGGTCACGCAATGATTCACACAACGCCACGTGACAACCTTTCCAGTTGTACGCCTCGTTGTTATAGATATAGTTAGCGAGGGACTGGAGATGAGACATTCAAAAGATGGCGGCAAAGTATGGGAAAAAGTTTTCAGTTGTCCTTACAACGTGTTTGCGAGTCGCAAATCTAGTCGTATACGTAAATTTTCGGAAATTTTTACCGTAGAATCAGTCAATGGAAATGGATGTAAGGAAATCGTAAGTATACATTTTTTTCTGCCTTCGATTACTCTAAAAGTAGTTTACAGTTTGTCAACGGAGATTAGTAATCATTGAACGGTACCTCATAAATTTTCAGACGAGGCTCAGTTAGGCTTCTTCAGAGCGTACTATGTGGTTGTGCGTGATCAAGATTTAAAATTAGAAATACAATCGCTGTGCGAGTTCAATGTGCGTGTCTATGAAGAACAATCTCGTAGATCGCGATCTAGTGTGGTCAATCGACTTGAATCTGCCCCAATTATAGAGATAATTGATTTATTTCCTTAAGATTGTGTGGTTTGTAATTCCCGTTCTGTTCAAAACAGAGGAGATCCATTCCAAGTTGATCCATTACCGAAAACATTTTATCATCCATCAAAACAACGAGAGCTATCCGAGGACGAAAGAAAGGTAAAACGTAGCAAATGCTGGCGATATCTTTTGAAATTCGGAGTATTCGGCTATTCAGTTTGAAAGGCGTTTTTTAAGAGAAATAAATCTACGGTATTCACGACAAAACTGAACAACTTGACTTGAGAAGTTATTGGGTAAAAAAAAATTTGATGATCGATAATTAGTCAAATTGATCAAGAGAATTCATGCATAATATAATTACCTTGTTACTGAATATACTGTAATTATATCAGTGCTTGCGTGTATTGCATTCTAAAATGACTTTTTTTAATTATTGATCCATTACTCAAATATATTATTACCTGTAAAACACAATCTTGTAAGCTGCCGTTACATGCGACATGAACAGTACTCCCTTCCATATCCTGAAGCTTGCAGACATACAGTTCTGCAAAAAAGATTAAAGAGGAAATTTTGTCTCTATTATTTTTTTTTTCCACTGCAATGTGATTTTCAAAATTATAATCACTGGAATTATAATAAGGAAAGCAATGGTTATATCTACTATATATATATATAAGCAATGGCTATGTATACACAAGCCAGATGAATGTACCCATATCAAGTAGAATGAAATTCATTGAAAAAAAATTGTACATTGCACTAAAATATTTCTTACAACTGACAAAAAGAAATACATTTCCAGAAAATTTCAATTCTGAATGTAGTTGTGGAAACAACATTGTTTGGTAATAGTGCATTGTTTATATATTACTGTCCAACTATTGTTACTGAAATAACTTACATAAAACTAGCCAATTCAATTACAAGAAACAAGCATTGAATTCCTTTCAATTCTTTATCATTGTTGCTTACTTTGGTATTAAATACTGTTTTACAGAATCATGTTTAGCAGAAATCAGTTCACTTCACACCGTGATTTTCTACTCTTGCTTATGTGGCCCATTGGTAACAGTATATAGCTGCAACACAGTATATAGCTGTAGTTTTCCCTCTACATATCTAAAATTTTGCATTAGGTAATCTGTTTATATGTTTCATTTGCTTAAGCTTTGTCTTAGCCCTGATAATAAAATGGAACGCCTTATCAAAAACCCTGAGGATGAAAAATTCCTTCGTAAAACAAATCAGATGAGGATACACGAAATACCAACAAGAGAAAATGGAACTACAGTGATGGACCATTCATCTTCATCCAAATTTGATGAGTCCTGGCCAAGTACAGAGCGAGCAATGGTATCAACCCCTGAAGTAGACACTGAAACCACAGAAACAAAGACCCCCTCCAGTGAAGGAGGAACAGGCTTTACAAGGCAGCTTCTTCCCAACTCCACTTTAGCCAGGTAACATTTCTTGGTGGGTTACTGACATTTGAAGCTTGAACACTAACAAAGAGGGTTTTGTTTTGGTTTGCAATTATCCTACTAGGATGAATCTATAATTTCAATCAACTGTTGGTCCATCTCATTTTTAACAGGTATATACACCGATTCCGTAATAATCCACCATCAAGCCGTCAGGAGCGAGATCGGATGTATTTGGACAGTGGTGAAGGAGGAGAATTCTGGTGGCTGTCTCCTTCTCCTCCAAGTAGCTCCACACCCAAAGATGGAACTCCAAAGGAGAGAAACCTGCCTTTCCCACCTCAGAGTCTCTCTCCAAAACGGAAAAGAACTACTGCCAGGAGGACTAGTTCATCTCCAACATCTCCAGTATCAGTGAGTAAAAATGCTTCCAACAATTTTAATGCTTTAAAATGTGCATTTCTCTATTAAAACTAAGAGCCTATTTCATGTACAGAAAGATCAAGTTACAGTTCTTCATCTCAACATTTTTCAAAGTGGCTGTTTGTCAGACAAAATGCATGAGATGGTTGCTAGTATAACATTTTATCTGCCAGTGAAAGAAGAAAAAAGGGCACAAAACCAAATCCATAATACCCTTTACCACAAAGAGGAAAGAGCTTTCCTTTAATAAAACAAAATGGAAAAGTTCAACTCACTTCAACATAAGACCCTAAACAACAAGTGATGAACATATTACAGTTTGTTAGATGACCACAAAACACAGGTCGCCAGTCCAACTTCTTTAACTGAAAATTTGGCCTCACTCTTTTTTACAACTCACCAAGGCAACAAAATCTGTCACAGCTCCACAAATCAATAATGTTAAAAGGCAACTTAGGATCAAAACAGAAGATTAAAAACAATTCACATTATTGCTAGGCGAGCTCTCAGGTCTACTGACCAACTTCTAGGGAATTTCCAAAATCGAGGAATTTTTAATTTTAGACATTGTCTCCACTAGAGGTATTTGTTCTACATTTATTTTTTTTTTTGGAAATTGTAATGGTTATGATCAATTGGTAACAGGACTGAGTGGAGTCTAATTCTGTTTGTAATCATACTTGTGATAGACAAATCAGACTCCCGCTTTGCAGTTGTCCAATTTTGCTCATCACTTGTATGATTACAGACCAAATTGAACTCCACTCAGTCCTATTACCATTATTTATCATGCTCTGCAGAAAACCAGAAGTACTTTGTCACCTTCAACCAAGTCATCGTTTGATGGACTTGACCTTCAGACAGCAGCACTACAACAGAGAGCCAAAGCACTGCTAGAGAAAAGGTTATTTATCTACTGAATGTGATGTTGATTGATGAAATACATATAACAGGAGTGCATCATGTTGTAGACTTAAAAGATCTTTAACAGATCATGGGAAAACAGAAAAGACCAGTGGAATTTCAAAGTATTATTTCCAAGCCTGGAATGTTGTGGAAAGTGGTTGAAAATGACTTAAGTTGATATTTCTTAGAACAAATTTGAACCAGAAATACTATGAAATATAATTCCTTCAAGAGTCTAAATAGCGAAATGTACATGTAGATCCTGTGTAGGACTTAACACACTAAAATATCATATCATGATTACGCTGCATTCAAAGATAATGTTTTTACATTACAGTGAAAGCACACTGGAAACATCTTCAACTGATCTTCCCATTCCATCAAGAAGGGCCCATCGGGAGGCTCCCAAGAAGAAACCCCCTAAAGAAGCACCATTCCAAGCTCCCTCGAAACCAGCCCCAATACAACTCACAGACAACTTGACCCAACGTCACCCTCATTCTGCTCCTCCTCCAGAGGAAGATATCTTATATCAATGGAGACTGGCAAGAAAAATAGAAAGAGCTCAAGAACATGTGACAAAACGGGGGCCTGCAAGAAGTACTTTTTTGTTAGAACCCTCTCAACCTAGATTTATTGGTGCTAGACCAGAGGAGTCTCTGGGTTTGTTTGGTAAGGCAAGAATACCCAAACCCACTTCAGCTCTGTGTCCATCTGAGAGGGATTTTCTAGATCCACAATCAGGATTAGAAGTATCTGATCTTCCTTCAACCAGGATGCAAACAAGGCTTGAAACACCTTTGACACTTTTGGCTGATCAAGAAGGGAGGTCTGCTAGATTAATACCACCTTATCCCAGCACCATGCTTCTACCTGGAGCACCTGTGGTGAGTGCTGGTGCTGCACAGGGTTTACAGCCTATACCAGAGACTGAAAATGATGCTCATGGGTCTGGACCAAGAACAAGTGTGCCTTCTTCTGAACAAATCACAAGACAAGAAATTTTGGGGCAAGGGCAGTCCAAGCTGGTCCAGGAACAGATGCAATTTGAACAAGCAGATGTACCATCTCATGTGCATCTTTCATGTGATATCTTGCCATGTCCTCATCAAAAGGCTCTAATTGAAAAAGGAAGGTCTGATCCAACAGTGAAACTCCCACTGAGTTACCCAGTAGTGGAGTTAATGAAGGAAGAACTTGCCTTACCAGAAAGAGATCTTGACAGAGTTAAAAAACCAAGTAGAAAAACAGTAAGAGAATCTCACAAGAAGCATCAGTTGAGGGGAAAAGATACAACTGAGGACAAACAGAAGAGTCAAATTGAGTCACACCATGTTGAACAAGATGGACAGAAAAGAAGAGCACATCAAAAACAGAAACCAAAAAGGGAAGTCTCAAGGGAGACTACAGCCACCGATGTGTTGACTGGTGTTATTGGAGAGGTGATTCTACAACAAGTCTACAAGTTAACTACTTACAATTGCTCTAACAAAGGGCTAATGCTTAAAAGTCTGCTTTAAAACTCTCTACAGTGGCCCATTTACATTAAATTATATTTATAAAATACCCTAAAAGTCATTCAGTTCCTTGATACTGAAACCCTGGAGAAGACCATTTGAGGAAGAACAGAAAATGGCACAGGGGGGTGGGGTTTGAGGAGATGATGGTATAAGCAAGGCTTCTGGTGGATTTTGGGTACAGGGTCATAAACTAACTCAAGGTGTTAGATGATCTTATGAAATCCGACTACCTATAAGTTGGTTCCTCTTAATATTATAAAAATAAGATGAAAAGTGTTTAAAAGTGTACAGGAAGAGTGTGATTTTCAAGGGTATCTCTTTGGCCTCTATTTAAATGTTATTTAGTCCATTCATTAGTGATCTATCAACATTACCTTGCTCCCATGCAAACAACTTCCAACCTCCCACAACATTCTCTATTACCAAAAAAGTCAGAATGTCAACCCTTTTAAGTTGAGGAATGCAACTATGCAACCACTGCACTAGTCTGAAAAAATGAAAAAAAAAACAATTTTTAACATTTAATCCCTGTTTTTTTTTTAAAATTATTTAAGGTTGTCTCGCAGAGACTCTTTGCCACTCCACGATCTTCCTCAAGCAGTTTGACAATAAGTGATGACAGCTTACAGCAAAGAGAGTACCATGAACAACACCACAAGGATAATGGTGAGGAAAAACATTTTTCCATATATTAACTTTGCCTTTTTTTGTTGCTGCATTGCATTAGCAAGATCTATTTGGGTTTGTTTCATACTTTATCTCCAGAGGAAAACTCTAATCCTGACAGCAACTCAGATGATAATGAATTCCCTGATGATGAAGTGTTGAAGATCTTACGTCAGAGACAGAGAAAGTATAGAGACCAGCTTAGGTAACTGTTCCTAACAGTGACAGTGCCAAATGTATTTGACACTTTACACCCTAATATTAGTAGGTATATTCTCCACACTGTTCTCTATACAATTCTTAAGGTGCTGCTAAGGAGAATTTGTCTAACAATCAAAAGCTTCTTTAGTCTGTGATCATTTACTTTATTCTCATGACCTTAATCTGTGATTCTGGGGTGATATTGTAAGAAGAAATTAGAAGCAAGTCACCCTTATGGGTTAAAGGGTTTATCAGCTTTTTACTGTAATTTGCAGAAAAACTGCTACTATTAATAGTTTAAAAAATGTATTGAAATTTGAAATGTCTAATATATTGTAATTATCCCTTTCACAGACAAATTGACAACATCTTAAATCAACAATCAAGGGATCAACCACCTGCTCGTAAAACAAAGGACAACTGAGATGACAGAGATTCTTTAATAAATGTGTTAAAAGTATTTATATTGATCAAATAAAATTATTTAATTTATTCACTGTGAATAAATCATCAATTATATGATGCAGTTTCCTATGGTCATTACTTCCCCTATCTCTGTAGGAACTTATTGAAATGTAATCACTAAAGATCCGAGGACTTGCAGAATACATATTGTTACAACTAAATTGGATGAGTTTTCCCATTTTTTTCTCTTTGTGTGCTTCACAATTCTACCAATATCAATTTTAAGGTTTATCAAAATATGGTTTTAGTTTGGTAAGGGAAGGTCCATCAGGGCCTGTGCAAAAAAAAAGCTAGACAGAGATTCTTTAATATTACATTACCACATTAATAATGCTTTGGCACAAGTGTTTTTTTTTTGTTGCCGGAAAGTATGAAGCATTGAGCAACGTGAGGTGGCTGCTCGTCTCCCAGGGGTCTGGGACTGATCCCTGGCAAACTGCAACTTATCTCAAATCTTTCATGGGGTGGAAAAGTGTGTCTTGAGACTCTTATAATGAGGGCTTGCTCACGGACCAATTAAAAAAAACCAACACAAATTTCCATCAACTGAAAAATAATTGAAACTCACTCAAGTCCAAGAGGACAAACCAATGTGAAATGAAATGGCATTAGAACTAAACAATCAAATAATAAAAACAACAAACCACATTTCCTATTCATAAAACTTGAAGGCTGATTGCCAAAAATGAGCAAAACAAAAACGGTGAAGAGCAAAAACAAGCATTTCATGTACAAAGGTGAAAAGCCAACTTAAAAGAATTGGAGAAAAAGACAAAAAAAAACAAACAATTGCGCCGCTCCCTTTAAATCGTTATCTTAAGTACTGTAATCCCTTAAAATGTATTTGTTTCCTGCGAGTTATTAAAGCAAATAAGTTTAATTTCCTTTGTCAAACAAGTTTTGTTCTGGACTCGCTGGCCCTATTCCCTTTTTGGTTTATAGCACATAATTCCATAAAAAAAATCAGTCTAAGGAAGGTTCTAGGTTTGATGTATAGTTAAAATATGACTGGTAGTTGTTTAGTTTAACAAATTCTCCCCATGCAGTTGGGTTGCAAATCTAGTACTGACTGCACATTAGAGACTGATTCATCTGTACATTTCAAGGTAAAATGCATAGTTATCTATTGCCTTAATAGTCAGTCAATAATTATCCATACCTACCTAACAGAAGTTGTTCATGTGTTCATTTCACTTTGGAAATTCATTGCAAACTTCCTGTTCAACCCCTAAGGTTTCTAAGAGACTGGCACTGACTGCGTTGTCCGTTACGGGTCTGGCACTAGAGCTGAGCGCGCAAGAGCTGCTGGTATAGAACAGAGTCCATCATGGCGTCCGGAGTCGGTGGAAAGAAGAAGGGCAAAGGCGCGATCGATCACGAGCAGATTATAATGCAATTCAATCAAATGAGGCAGGAGTACAGGGGTATTATGGGGAAAATAGGAGAGCTCGAAATGGAAGTCAATGAGCATGGGTGAGAACCGATTTAAAAATCTCTATTAAGATATGTCAAACTGATAAGCGTTACGGGAATGTCAAACAAAGTTGGACATTAAACCTTAGGTCTGCCTTGTATAAACTCTTTGAAGAAGTTGTAACATTTATGAAAGAAATTTTCGACGGCTTTCATCATTAATATACTTAACTATTGCCATTTTACCCTAAAATCGGTTTCACTGTTATCGACTCCACGTGGTTTTGATAGGCACACACCTAAAAACTGTTATTCCCTTCCTTTAGTTCGCTGGGGATTTCTTTGGTAATTATTGAAGTAATTACACTTACGATTTTTAGTCAGTTACTGTGGTATTTGATGTTTTGATCCTTTTTCAAATCAAGATTTCCCTCTTCGTCTTGTTTCGTTTTCTTTCGCAAGTTTAATTTCTAAGTAACAAATGACAGCCCCCTTTTTGACAGGCTGACTTGACCCTTTCACTCCCAAGATCTAATTAGTAATTCTCCTTACTATCTGCCATACAATTCTTATGATGGTAGTTCAGAGAATTTGGTATTGGATCAACTAATAATCTCATAATTGATATTCTTCTCTATTCTCATCACCTGCCTGCTTGATATTGTATTGATATTGTAAGGAGAAATTCTGTCTTGGTCACCTGTGAGAGTTAAATGGTTAAGGCATAAAAGTAGAATTGGGGCATTGAAATATAAATATATAAAGTGAAAACACGTAGGCCTTATGCTAGATTACCTCTTGTTTGTACCCTGCAGATCCGCAAGGTTTCAGTGGAAATTAAGAGTAATTAATTATTGTGAGTCTCTGACTTGAAAATAATTGGCTTTCATGTTCTATTTTAATTCTTTACAATAGGTTCTTTTCCAAATCTTGAGTTCTGGTCAAGAGAGAAAATAGGCAAAGAACAAATTATAACAGTTTGCAAAAAGATACTCAGGTGAAACATTCCCAAACACTTGATGAAAGTGGTAATTAATTTACCAAACTCTTTCTATTTGTAGCATTGTGATTGAGGCACTGAAAGGTGTAGAGCCTGATAGACGCTGCTTCCGAATGATTGGTGGAGTATTGGTGGAGAGGACAGTCAAGGATGTTCTCCCAGCACTGGAAAACAACAAAGAACAGGTTAGGACATTTTCCTGCAGAACTAGAAGGGGACATAAAGGTTATCATACAGAATTATGCAGATGCTGAGATGTTTGGTGACTCTTCCAGAATGTCATGCGAGTTAGTTTTAGAGCATCCCCTACAGTTTCATCAGGTTTTCCCTAAAAGTTTGGTAGTAAACATTTTATGCCTGGATGGAGAAGCACTGCAAAAGTTATATCTTATCCCTAAGAACTCAGCTTGGTGCTTACATGCCAATCTTTTGATCCTGATCTGTTTTATTCCCTTGGCCCCAGTTTTTCAAAGGTTGGATGGCACTATCTACTGGATAAAACTCTATCCAATGGATAACACAATACATTTTGCTATCACTTATCTGTTGGATAGCGTTCTGAGCCCTTTATACAACTGGGCCCTGGAGTTTATCAGTCTTGGTACAGTAAAAGTACTACTCAGTGATAGCAGCCGTCAAACAAACTTTACATCCCTTTCAACCTTGCATTCCCCATTCATACTTTATGGTAATTGTTTACATGCAAACCATGTAAGTCATATGTTAAAAGGGCAGGTATGGGGATGTGTAACTTTCAGTGAGGACCAAGATGTTTAATAAGATATTTATTGTCTACTGTATGTACGAAGAGTTTCAGAATTGATTTCAAGTGTCATTTAATGGATTCAAATGGCTTATGCACTTTGATAGCAAAAGGAATCAATTTCCAATTGGTTGTTAATCATTTACGTGGTTTCACACAGTCTAATCAACCAAAAAGATTTGGACTTCACTTTCACACCACAGTTGAGAACAACTGTTCACAAATACAGAGAGATTTTTGCAAATTAAGGTTTAAATTTTAGAGGGTGGTAAAGGAGAGTGTGGCCATTTGACCCTTTAACTCCCAGATCAATTTTGTAGTTCTCCTTACTGTCAACCATACAATTCTTATAATGTTAGTTCAGAGAATTTAGAATTCGATCAAATAATTATCCTCAAATTGATTTTTTTCTTTATTCTCATCACTTATCTGGTTGATATTGTATAGATAGTGTAAGGAGAAATTCTGTCTTGGTCACCCATGGGAGTTAAAGGGTTAACTGACCTATCACGGTGCCAATGAGAAAAAGGGATAAAATAAAAATGATTTCTCTCTCACTGTGATGTTCATCTTCAGATTTCAGGCCTCATTAACAAGTTAAAAGACACTCTCACTGCCAAAGAGCAAGAACTTACGGCATTCAAAGATAAACACAACATCCGTGTCAAGGGAGAGAGAGAAAGTCAATCTGAGGATTCTGTACAGACTGCTGATAAGACTTCAGGAGTTCTGGTGGCACAGGACAATTCATAAGATGAAGGGAACAATATTTATTGATGTTCTGATGCATGGAAAGCTTCAGTGGACACAGTAGCCAGTATGGCAAGCATTTAATACACTGACTCAAGTGAAACCATTCCAAAGATTCCCTCCCCAAGTTTAAATGTTAATCTTAGTTTTTGCACAGGACACTCCTTTTTGAACAAACAGACAGATTTTTTTCTCACAGTGAGTACAACAGAAATTATGTTAGTGAGAAGATTGAAAGACATTGTCACCTAGTGGACATTTTACATATAGTTTTCAAGTCAATAGCTTTGTGATAGATTAGAAATTCTAATATAAGTGTGAGTTACAGAGAGAGTGGTACATGTACACAACACAAATCAGTGTAAATTATATTCTTTCTAGATCCTTTATTTTACCTGCAGACTTAAGATATGGTCATTTGTCTTTCAAAGTCAATAATTTAAATGAACCATAATTTTGGACCCTATTAAGTTTAAAGATGTTATATCTTCTTGCTTTTGTTTGTCAGCTTCTTATTCAATTCATTTTAAAGGAGATACTAAAATGTTTGCACATAGTAAAATTAAGTGTGGCCTAGACTGTATGTAATGATTAAGTGAATCTGTGTTTCTGTAAGGAACACAAGGTTTTACCCTGTGTATATTCAAAGTTATGAATAAATAATTTGAAATACCTTTGGACTCACTAGAATAGAATAAAAATTATTATCTGATCTGTCCATTTGCCATTAATCATAAGAAATATTCTAATAGCCCTTTCAAAGTAGAAGCTAATGGACTCCTCTTCAAAGTGGCACTTTGTAATTAAAACTTTTTTTTTGAAGAAAAGAAGTTTTGTGGCAAGAATTGAAATAATTGGTGGAGATTCTTATTTGAAAAAGGAGAAAACAGTGTGAAACTTTTAACCCTTTCACTCCCAAGATCTATTTTTGCAATTCTTTATTTGACCAGAGAATTTGGTATTGGATCAAAATAATCGATTTATTCTTCTCTGTTGAGGAAGTCATTTATATATGAAAACAGTGTGTAACTGTTTAAATAACATTAATTTTTGTTCCTAAAAACAACAGCAGACCAAATAAGCTTTGTATAATATATGACAAAATATTTTTGTGCACATAAAATATTAATAAGGGCATAGGAAATAAAAAACTTTGAAAGATTACGAAAGAGAGGATTTGCATAAAAAGGCTGCGGGTACAAATATCCTACATGTTTTCATTTTTAGATTCAAACTGCCTTGATACTTTGAGAGTTTCAATTTCAACTTTAAATATTGTCTAATCAAAAGAAATCTAGGGCCTTGGGTCTTTGCGTAACTTTAGGTTGTTTCTTTTCTGCTGCAGTTGGCCAGAAGCTGTGGATGCTGCAGCAGTCTTTTTTACAACTAAGGGTGTTCTTTGAGGTTGAGGTGGTGACTTGAGTAACCCTTGAGGAGGTGTCTTCTCTGCATCAAATGGAATGTTTGGGCTTTCCTTCAAACTACGTTTATAATCTGTCAAGAAAAAGTGGCACAAAATGAAAGGTTCAAGAGGTGTTGCCTTAATGAGCTTTGATGCTGCAGCCCTCCCTGGAGGGTAGCAAAAGGGGGAGGGGGGGTCCTAATCCCATTTCACAAACTAATTTTAGAAAAATTCACATAATATAAATGAGGGAAAATTTCAAATCTCCCTTCTTATGTTCAAGATTTCAGGGAAATCTTGAGGTCTTCACAAAATGAAAGAAAAAATTTATGGATCATATATATTTTGGGAAGCAAATCATGTTTAACGTGGATTCAAAACTTCTCGAGTCATGCGCACCTTTCTGTGAAATTCAGTATTACACATAATTTTTGCCTTATCACACATCACATTCAAACCCTTTACCACCCTCTCCCAAGCCAGAGAAGGGCAAAGTTGATTTCTAAATTAAATGCCACCCACACTATAACTACCCTGAGCCACATACATTATTTCATTACCAATAATTGAACTGAACAAGGATGAGTTTGTTCTGACTTGAAAAAGAACCCCAACTTTTCAATGGTAATTTGCACTGACCTTGTGTTGTGTGTGAAGTATTTTTTGACACCTCTATTCTGACTTTTTTCCTTGTTCCCTTTGAAGGTTCTGATCCAGGCAGTTGAACCTACACAAATTATTGCATATGTATTCACTGATAACAAATACAGAGAAATCATTTCGCATCTTGTTCATTAACCATTAGTCTTGAGATATTACAAAAACTAACAATTACATAAAATTGTACAATGTTTAATTCAATCAACAATCATGACCTGCTGATTGTCTAGGAGCTTCTCTAGAGAGAAGACCAAACACTGTAGAATGCTGGTGGCAGATGTGCCTGTACAAGTTGCAGAAAGGCAAATAAAAAATAATTACCTGTGCAAAATTGACTATAGTAATTTACATAACACATTTATACATGACAATCTTGCTACTATTTCACGCTAAAGAAAAATATATTGTTCCCAACCTTCAAATTACTGTTCCTTCGCAGCTTTGTTCTGGGTGTTTTAGCACCGCATCTTCGAACAAATGCCGGTGGAGTAGCATTCTTCTGAAACTTTGCAAAGGGCTGCTCACCATGACCATTGGCTCTATTCAAAACCTCATTTTCCACAGTTCTTAACAAGGTGTGATCATCTTTTTCAGTTGAATGTATTGTGTCACCAACAACACCAGAAGCATTATCCTCACTTAGGTCATTAATAGCTTCTTTATTGGAAGATTGATGTCTTCTTTTATTTTTTTCAGTAAGTAATTCTCCACCACCATTTTCATGGCTAATCACAGATCCTTCCTCATTCTCAATAGGAGATTTCTTCTTCTTCTTCTTCTTTTTATCCTTAGGCTCAATGTTTTGCTCTGTATGAATTTCTTTTTCTTCAGAAGACAACTCAACATGACCTTCACTATCTTGCCTATTCTTTCTTTTTCTCCTTCCCTCTCTCTTGTCTTCTATAGTAGAAAGTTCACTATTGTGATTACCCAGTTCCTCTTCTTTTTTATCATTAGAATCTTTAATCTTTTTACTCTTCTGTTTTGTTTCCTTGGTGTGACTGTGATCTCTGTTGTTGTCTGATGACTCTTGCTCTTCAGTCTTTCTCTTTGATCCAACTTGGATCCCATTTGGGATTCTATCTTCTTGCACAGAATCCTCCACATGTTCTCCTATCAGACCATATAGAAAGAGAAAATTGGCAAATAAATAAGGTCAAGTTGCCTACAGTACACAAAGTTATAGGTTCAAATGATACAGAAACATTAAAACTACTTCATAACACACATGTAAAGACCTTGGTTCTGCTTGCCCTCCATGTTCTACAATTCATGAATCACTGTACTTAACCCTTTAAAGCCTAACATCAGTATGCATATTCTCCATACTGCTCTCCATACATTTCCTAAGATGCTGACAGGGAGAATTTCAATAACTTCTTTGGTTGGTGATCTCTTCCTTTATTCTTGTGACCTTAATTTTTGAGTCAGGGGTGATATTTTAAGGAGAAAATAGATGCTGGTCACTCTAAGGGGTTCAAAGGTTGATATGAGAAAAAGGTTTCTGTTTTATTGTAAACTTCTGTTTACTTATGAAACTCTTGCATGTTAACCCTTTAACTCCCATGAGTGACCAAGACAGAATTTTTCTTTACAATATCAATACAATATCAAGCAGATAAGTGATGAGAATATAGAAAGCTATCAATTTGGGGATAATTAGTTGATCCAATACTAAATTCTCTGAACCACCATTATAAGAATCATATGGTTTACAGTTAGGAGAATTACAAATTTGGTCTGGGAGTTAAAGGGTTGAGTGAAGAAACACAGAGAGATAACAGTTGCTTGACTGTATGTTTTACAGCAGGAAAGAGAGGGTGACGAAATATGGAAGAATCACTTGCATTGAACCAATAGACAAGTGCTAAATACCTGTTGATCGTTTCCTCAGACTGCAAAGAGATAAACACATAATAAATTAATAAATAAGTGATCAAATAAATGAAGCATGATCACATGAACAAAAAATATACAAAAAAGTGAATTAACTAATACAGTAATGTTGCAACCTTTCTTTTCAAAGTCAACATATTATATGTACCAAGAAATGTGTCACACACACAAAAAAACAGATCTCATCAGCAAAAAGTCATTACCTCATAAGAGCTACTGTAATAGATCATTTTCTTTATATTAAAATTCTAACAGGGACATGAGGCTTGGGGGAATAAAACAAGAGAAATTCATTATTCATCCCTCAACCTTGATGTGATTTCTTTTGTTTTATCCACCGGAGTCTCAGAGCAAAGTTTGAATTTTAATATATTGAAAATGGCCTATTTTGATGGAATTGTATGGCAGGTAGATGAGGAAATTACAAGTCAATGATTTATAAGAAATAAATGAAAGAGGAAAAAAAGGAAACTTTCTTTCCAGTGCTTTTGGTTAAGGGTTGACTGCTTGGGCACCAGAAAGGGAAATAAATCAATGACTTTTTCATTCCCAAGAGTGATCAATAAGTTCCTTCTCCATAAAGTAACAATACATTGTCAAGCAGAACAGAGAAGAGAAAATATACAAATATCAAACAAGTGACTACATGTATTGTTTGATTTAACATCAAATTCTCAAAGGTTATATCAGAAGAAATGTGTGGCAGTCAATCATGAGAATTGAAAATGAGATCTTGGGAATTTCTTTGCCAAGTTGAACCCTCAATTCATATCTTGTTTCCTTATCAACTGACCAGGAAGTAAGAGCATTTTTTGGATAAGGTGGATAATTAGAGCAAAAAACTGTGTTCCCCATTATGGCCCTAACTGACTATTAATTGATCCACTGTTAGCTAGTCTTACCGTTTAGCCCAGTAAAAAAGTTGATTCCTGTTCCTACCAAGGATATTTCTGTCACTTGCTAAAGAAAATAATCTGTCAGCAGCAGAAGCAAAATCAACCTTGAAAGTAAATAAAATAAAAAAGGGTCAGTATTCATCTCATTAAAATTAAACAAACAAACAAACAAATTCAAGTATTTTATTGCCATCGAAAATTTCAGTAATATTTAAAATGAATAGTTAAAAATCCCTTAAAATTTTTAAAAACAATTCTATGGTAGAGTGAGCCAGACCTTAATTTTAGAATTCTGCTGCTCCTCAGAGTCATCTGTCCCTTGTTGAACAAGGTGTTCAAACAAACTCTTTCCCACAGCACTGGTAACAGTTTTGCTAGGGAAAAAATTCAATTCTCACGGTTAACCCTTTAAATGCCAAGATCTGATTGTTAATTCTCACCTCTAACTGGCAAACAATTCCATGTAAATAAGTTGTGAGAATTTGGATCATAAAAACTTCTTCCTGATAAGTTTGAGTATTCTCATTACCTGGTGGCTGGATAATGTTCAGGACAAGTTACAAGTAAATCACTTCTGGAAGTTAAAGGGTTAAATTACAGCTTTGATAAGAACTAACAGGCACAAACAAGTAAAAAGGTAGCTTGAAAATGAGCTAGAGGATAAACATGCTAAGCTGATTCCAATATCTGTAGGATCGACTACCCTCATCTCATCTCAATAAGGTTGGTAAAAGCCAGTTAGGCAACACACCAAACACTTACAAAATGCAAAAGTAAAAATTACATGCTTCAATAAGTGCAATACAGAATAAAAATCAACCATACAAGTTAACATGCTCTTATTAATTAAGCTAATGAACTAACTTAAAGGCAATTCTTAAATTTGACCAGAGATGTAATATCAGGCATCTCAGGGAGGAACTGGGTACAGTCTCTAGCAGTTCTTGGGAACAATGACAATTTGAACTAAAATTTAAACTTGAACCACCAATGGGGTATTCCCAATCATTCTCAGAGGAATGCTAATCAATTGTGCAGATTTCTGTTTGATCAAATACAACATCAAAATTCTTACTTGCTTGAGTGTGTTGCAAGCAGGAAAAAAGGATCCAAGAGCTTAAGCACTGCACCAGCAGAAGCCTACAAACAGCACAGGTGAAAAAAAAAATATATATATAATCATAAAAAATAAACAAAATAAAATTACATACGTTACAACAACACAAACAATTTATTGATTAACATGATCATGGCATTTTACCTCATCATCTAGTACACTTCCAAGTTCAGAGAGATACACTGACACCATGTGAAGTCGAATTCCATCAGGAACCTAAAATCACAATAAAAAATTTATTACTACACATGAGGTACCTTTTTTTAACCTGTTGACTCCTAAGAGGGACTAGCATCTAATTTCTTTCCACAAATATAATATATCCTTTGAAACACATATTGAGGTCACCAGATTGAAGGGAATGATCACAAAATAAAGAAACTCTTGCTGGGTATTTGCAAGGAAAATTTGTTTAATAATTAAGAACTTCAGTAGTTGGTGATCATTTCCTTTATTCTAGCAACCTTTTTGTGTGATTCAGGGGTGATACTAATGGGGGAAATTTGATGATGGTTACTCTTATGACATATTATTGAGTATTACAGTAGTACAGCATAGAAATGAGTGGCAGCCACTCCTTCCTATACTGTATGGGATTCCAGTTTATTACAGGTTACCCTCAAGCATTTCAACAAGTTTCCCTAACAATTTTTGGACACCCATTGCAACTCCTGGCATGGAGAGAGTCATTATGGGGGTGGAGAGTCTTGCCCAAGAACACAACACAATTATTCTGCCAGAGCTTGAAAGCCAATGCTACATTCTGCAGTCAAGAGAATCAAATATTAACCCACTGTGTGTGAATAATATATGATCAGTTACCTTCAGACTACTTGGATTCATTGGTTCTTCATAAAAAATATTAACAACATCATTGACTAACCTAAAGAAGGAAAAATGAAGACAATTCAAACATTACAGACTGAAAGTTCTCTGCTGAAAAGTAGGCAGTTAGATGGCACAATAATTTCAAAAAACTTACCTTTCCTCCCAACCAGCTTTTTTCAGAAAATTGAAAGTTTCTTTCACAAAGAAACGGATGAGCTGAAAAAAAATTTGCTTTTTATGTCAAAAAAGTGCCAAGGCCAACTCAAAGAGGACAAAAACCAACTAAAGCATCCAAATACACAAGTGACCAAGTGTTATCAACTCAGTTGATAACACATAATTACCAAGTTGCAATTGGTTTGTTTCTATTCTAATATGTCAAGGCAGTGGGGTGCAGTTTTCTAGAACAATCAAAGATCATCACGAAGCAATTAAATGCAATCTCTTGCTACTTTTTGCACTCCATTGACGACTGCACTAACAGACACTCTTGTCTTACATTACAGCTACAGGATATGCTATTTAATTATCCAGGCAGCCCATTCCACTAAAATATACTTTCATGCTCTTGCAATTATCATTGTCCATCCACATTTGCTGCGAAAACTTTAGCTGGTCAGTAAAGAGACAATCGACCCTCCTTCTCTCTCTCTCAATGATAGTGTGCCTTTCTTTCCCAAGTCCATAGGTGGTTTGATGACACTGTTCCACAACCAATTGAAAACTGCTCTACATTAATATTTTATCAAAAACTAACCATGTAAAACTTATCCAATCGCAGACGATCTATCCCATGCCATTCTCTTTGCATTGTTTTAAAAAATGCTTTAATAAAAAGGACAGCTAAAAAGTAAAAATCAAAGAAGCAGATTGTGTGAGAAGAGTCAAATTAAATAATTTTACGCCTTTGTTCTGGCAGCCAGCACACTGCTAAATTGCCTGCACTCCCATTAACACACAACTGTTGTGTATGATAAAAAAAAATGCATCACTAAATTAAGCAATTAATAAAACAATTTAATAATAAACAAGAAAATTACATGCTTCTGATTGGCTGAAAACAAGTGCATTTTTCATGTCTCTTTTTCATGTTTCTCAAAATCACATTATTACCAATCACATTATTACCAATACAAAACCCTCTTCCTATCAGTTCAATTGCAAATTAAACCATGCAAGATATTGGGAGAACACGAGAAAAGTTTGTTAACAAGCCAGAGGCATATGGTTTGCAAACTTTTCAAGTAATCATTCTTAGCTACAACATATACATCTTACCTGATTGTTCATTCCTGAAACTGAGTATAAGTTTTGAAATATTTAAACCCAGCTCTTCCTGCCAACAAATTTAAAACTTGTAATTAATAATGAGGGGGCTTACATTAAATCTGTTCAATAATGGCTGGGAAGCTTGCTGTTTAAGGGGAGTTATGAGTGTGAGGGCTGCAAGAAGAGAAAGAGGGAGAAAAGATAATAGCACATCACAATCCAAGGGGTTTGGTGTTCTCATTTCACACCAGCAGGAAAAAAAATAACCATATGCTTGCAATGCAATTCAATTCTAAATGTTGCTCAACGGTATAAGTTACCAAGTAAAGCAATGATGCAATGTTCTAAAGTTGATTATATCAGATTGTTATGGAAATACCTGAATAAGAGGCTTGTCTGACATCCACATGCAGTAAAATAGTCCCTTCCATATTTTAAGCAAATCTACCTCACCAAACCCTTCAAGGAAAAATAAATTATTCCTATCAATGTACTTAGATAAATAACATAATGCATTGGATTCAATAATACGGTAATCCAAGTTCTTTCATCGCACTACACATACTGCATACTGAGACATTACCACAATGTCCTCTTTAGCATTGAGTGATCCATAAAAACACATCCATGCTTGAAAAGTGGCGCAACATTTTTGTACATCTGTTCACGTCTGCTAAAGAAATTTGTCAGTAACTTACCAGGGCCATCCTTTGGTCGGCTCCTAATCCAAGCCCTAAGTTTATTCAGGGCTTTATCTCTGATTTTCTTGTCGTTATTCGCTAGTTTCTTAGCAAAATGCTCTTCTGCTCCTCCAGCCGCCATGTTGGTTAATATGGAACACGTGCTGCTCAAGCGCATATAAGTTTTGGAGAAACCGCGGATTGCCGTTTAATGAAAATATTTTCTGTCGTGTAAGCGTCTCGAGAAAGGGCGCGACCAGAGTTGATTGAATCATCTACATATTATTAGAGAACAGACAAATTTCTTATTACGAAAAAACGAGACAAACTAGACAGAAAAACAACAACAAAAAAAAACATTTACGTCAGGTACTTTCTAAAACAAATTCATCTCGTCTGACTCAGTGTAAACACAAATTTATGGGACTTTTGATTTAAAAACTCCAGAAACTAATTATTTTCAAGGGGAATATTACGAGGGTCTCAATTGGGGTAACCGATAGCTGTTAAACGGCAAAAAAATTAAATTACTAGGGGTAAAAATTGACAAATTCTAACCATTTGTCGTAAAAATGCTAATAGAACCTTAAACAACAACAATGGAATGATGTTAACCGTTAGCCGTAAAATGGCAAAAATTTTAACCGTTAGCGGTAAAAGTAATCACCCCATTGACAGCCTCTATCAGCCCTAGTTCTGCTAATGAAAAATACTCGAACCTGATTGGCTGGTAAGCTGCTTTAGGAATGATTCACAGATTTGACTACAAAGGACTTAAAGTAAGAGACCGAACCGAAGGCGAGTGATTTTCAAACTTTTCGCGTGTTCTTGCAACATCGTGTGGCGTGTGCCTGTCAGTATACAATTCGCTGACCAATCAGAAAGCGCAATCTATGAACGATCCAAGACGTTCGCTCCGTTCATGAAATGAGTTGCTCTTGGTTAGTAATTTTCGTTCGCGTTCAATTGGACCATGCACCTTAAAACAGTGCTCTGAGGATAATGTTTCTTATTGACGAATTTTTTGTCACGGTCGCAATTTTCGAAAACGCCTCATTAAAATTTCCATAAGAAAGGTTATTTTGAAAATCTGCTTTAATTATTTTGGTCAAACGTGTTCTGATAATTGTTCCATGCAGTGAACGTGACGCAACTTATCATTATCTTAGTGGGACCGGATAAGTGATGTCTTTCAATAACAAGTACCATTTAACGCAAAATGCAAACATAACAGTTATCACACTGCTTTAATCTAATCACCTTCCATCTAGCATGAGTAGTGGAAATGGGAAATAAGTGGTAGAATTACAGAGTCGAGTATACATATATTTTAATACTGGCAATAAATGTATGACTGATATTTACTGTATAACGGCTAGTAATATGTCAGTTAGTTTTACCGTCGTGACGTATTGTGAAATATATGTTGTAGCCCTAAAAATACAGCAAAAGATTCCAATTTTCAATCTGAATCCAGCAATTAATAGCAGTGGGAAATTTTTTGTGCTTATTGTCACGATCGATCAAAGTTCGTTAAAGCCTAGAATAATATACTTATACCAAACAAATAAAGAAAAAAAACACTTCAAAAAGTAGATTTCGATATTAAGAATGAAAACAGTGATATAAAAAAAACCCCAAAAGATTCCCAGTGTAACCACATGATACCGAATATACACCGAGTTTAAATAAACCTTTTTCCCTGATGAAATCTCGTATATGTCCCTGTTAAAGTATTCCCGAAAATTCTCTCAGAATTTTAATAAAGTATAAGAAGGCAGGTGTTGGTATTCAGCCCGTGTAAAGAGTGATTTAGACAGGATGGAAAACAATATGTGCTTCTCAGTCTTCATTTGTGTTAATATGCTTACTTTTCTTGAGGGTCTCAATGGGGTGATGGTGTTCACTCTTGATATCTTTCTGTTACGATTAACAGAAATGTCAAAATTAATTTCGATCATTTTAAAAGGTTGGCAACCAATTTTCAGATGTTCATTTTCAAATGTCTTCGATACCAAAATAAATTTTGTAACTGTCAAAACAACATTAGCCACAAGACAAGACACATGACAGGCTAAGATTTTGACACTTTCAGAATTACGCATTATAAATAGAAAAATGTTTTTACCTAATCTTTTTACGACCAACATTTACAGTGTTTCAATTTTTACGCCTAACAGCTAAATTTTTAGGCCGTTTTAAGTCTGACAGTTAACCCCATTGAGACCCTAAGAAATAATCTTCCGGTGAACTGCTTCTCATTTTGAAAATATTTTACAATATAGCAGTGCCTTTCGTACTTAAACCTGCACTACCAATCGCGTTAGGTGAGAGGGAAATCACACAATTTCTTTGTCGTGCACGCCCTTGGAATGAACCCGCCGAGCTTACGGGAAATGATTGGCATTGTCGACGCCGTGTTCCTTGTGTGGAAGCGGCACTGAATAACACGAAAGAGAGAAATAACTCTAAAACTCTCATGGAAAAATTGAAGATCAACCAAGGCCAGGCCTCAACATAAATGGCGTCCGAGAAAACCCCGTAAACTCCACTCATAGAATAAATTTGAAGCGCGCAAAGTATAACGCCTCCAAGAACGGCTGCGACGCAAGTTTTGATTATGGATCGAGTTTGTCTGCCGCGCGGACTACTTTTCGAAACGGTCCACGTAAAATGTTGTCGACTTTTTTCCGCACTTCCTTGAGAATTTTCCGCTCTGAAATTTTTCCAAAGAAGGTATGCGATGAAGGAGTAAAAGAACGACAGCGATAAGCTGAAAAGCACGTAAACCAGTTGACAGATAAAAGTTAGTACGTCGATATTCGGTACATAGAAAAGAGTTACTTCAGCAACTAGCTGAAGAGAAAAATAAGGAACTGCGATAAATAAAATGTTTTTTGCAGTGTACCACACCATGAATCGTTCCCTTAGCACAAATATATTCTTCAAAACCAAAAATATCAGTGTGTAAGCCGTGATTATGCAAGGGTTGCCTAAGGTCCACACGAAGTTTGCGACTGCTTTTGGCAAAATGTGTTTTGTACTGTATGCATCGATGCACAGGTACAAACAGCGCAACAAACCAAACATGAAAAGCAAGACTAACACGATCAAGTTAGCCTTTTTGGGTCTTCTAGCTCTGTTTGACGACAGAGCTCGCAGAATAAGGGCTGAGGTAAGAACCATAAGTATTCCAAATGCAGCACCCAGTCCGTATTGGTAGATTTTCCAAGCAACACCCCAGGTCGGTATCGCTGTATGCCACTCTGGAAGAGGTTCTCCGAAGCTTTTCGTATAAGGTTCTTTCGTGGCTTCTGCCTCAGGTTCTGCATCCAACAGAGCACGCCGATGCTGTTTGGAAATCATCCTCCGTCTGATTTTTTACCTGAAAAAGCAGATCAATGAGCACAAAACAGCTTATCGTTGACTGAAACAATCGAGCTCAAGTTCGATCCTCATTTACTGTGGTTTGAGCACGAATAAGCCAGTTTAAATATTGATGTCTGACGTTATTTTAATAAAACTTCCGTATTCTTTTCGTCTATTTATAGCCAGACATAAAAGGAAAAAAGAAAAACATAATTTTCATTAAAAAAATTCACAACAACAAAAGCGAGAATACAAAGATTTTCTGATAGAATCCGGCACGTTTAATTTCCGAAACAAGGCGTCTTGCATGCAGTGACGTAAACATGACAATATCACACCACCAAAGGGTATTTTTTCATGTTCGTTTTGAACGGCTTTAAGTGCACGCATCCGATACTTCTAAAAGTTATCAAGTAATAAGGATCCTAAGCTAGTACACTACGTGTGTCCAGTCAGGTCATTTCGGTACTTTTGCGACTGTTTTTTCTGTAAAAAAAGGCCCTTGTTTTAAAACTTACAAGTTAATATGTAAAGGAAGGGCATGAAGACAATTCGCGTCACTTCATCGTCGTCATATGCCGTTTTAACAGACTTTTTTTTTCATTTTTCCTAGTTAGAACGTGATGAAACTATGCAGAATTGAGAAGATGGATATAAAAAATACCCTGCTTTAGTTATTATTTCAAATACTCATGCAAAGTCAACGTGCTGTGCAATATCTTTCTCTCCTTTTCGCTCTGTATTTCTTAACTCTCGAAACTATTTTTCCCATATATTATAGAGAAAGGAAAAACGAATAACAAGACGGTTTTCGTCAATTGAAATGCGTACTATTTGCCAGGCTTACTCTGTCTGTGCTATTATAGATATAAAGTAGTGATTATATTTTGAATCTCCTTCGGGTTTGTTTTCCTGTTTCTAAATTCAAAACAGTAATCTTTAATTTCTTAAACAATACACCTACTCCATCATTAGTAATTCTAACTGCAATAATAAATCCATCTTCATTTAATAATTCTAAAGCATTTTTCTTTCTGATTCGTACTTTTTGTAAATTTTTCTTTATCACTTTTCCCCGATAAAGACTAGAGTTCTTCGCCGAAACATTGTGATTTTCAAACTAGTTATTCGTGATTCTAATCGAAATATTTTGCTATTTAATAAATCCGTTATTGACAAAGCGTGTTCTTTTTTAGGTGGCTGGATATCAGCCCGTGCTATTTTTGCGTCTCGGTCCATAAAATCGCAAAAGAGAACTTGGCCAATATCCACCATCTTGATTGAACAAGCTTGGTCAATAATACAAATTTTTTGTCCTTGACTTTTGCTAATGTCAACAAGAAAAAAATTATTTTTACTTGTGTTTTTATTAATAAAAATGTTCCACTCACAGTGATTCAATCCCTTTCAATTCAACATGTCCGCATATATATATATGTAACTACCTCTAGAAGAAGTCAACGAGATTGAGTGCCTTTTAAACTATCTTTAGCTCTTTGTAACCCACGCTGTATGACCAACCCTCATCTATGCATGTTTGCAGAATTTTTTCCCAGTTTTACTGCTGTCGTACAAAATACCATCATTTTGACATGCGCAGTAAGTGCGAAGGAGTAGAGACTCGTGCCAGCATTTGTGGTGCTCAGCGGAGTGGCTTTTATAAAGTAAGTTTAACTGAATGTACGCGATGCATTGTAGGAGAACATTATTTTTTCATAGAATTCACCTAATTGTAACAGATGTAAGTCATAGAAAAATATAGATGACAACAAATAGAAATAAATTACTTGCAAAAACCATCGGCGCAAGTTCATGCCGGAAATAGCGTTCGTCCGTTTTGGGCCGTTTTATCCTCTGCGAATATTGATCGTCGCATGGAAAGAAAATTACAAAAATCTGCCTTTATATACAGGTCCGTGACTGTTAAGGGCCGGAGTTTGTTTAAAGGAACCCAGACTATATTCTGCATGTATAATTCATTTCTATTTTTGTGACAATTTGATTTTCTTCAGGTGCATTTTCATGATAAAGACTTGATCGAGATGTTTCTGAGAAGGAAAGTAAGCTAGAAGAAGCAAAATACCCTTTTCGGCTTGAAGCTGAATTAAAAATAAATTTAAACTGTATAAGACAAAAAAAGTTGTTCACAACAATCCCTGGATAAATGTCGCTAATTAATGAATAAATAAAAAAAAAACGTATTTTTTGTTACGATGGAACATTTTTTGCCATTAATTGACTGCAGTTGATTATGAAGAGATGATCGCAATTACCTTATATGGAAGAATCAGAAGTTTCTAATCAGCGGGAAATTTTCTCCAAAAGCAATTAATAATTCAACAATGAAATTGAAGAGGAAGGTGAAGAGGATCCTTTAAAAAACGTGAGAATCTGAATAACAAACATGAAATATATGATACAACGTATTTAAGAACAAGACCACTTTTTAACCGTCCTTGTGTGCCAACAATTCGGACCTCGTGAAGAAATTGGAAGTTTTTGTGAACTAACTGATCTTAGGTGAGTTTTCCTTAACCCTTAATGAAACAAATGGGTAACACATGGGTAAACTCTCTTTCTTGGTTCCCGGAAGGAACTTTGCAAATGTGTGTAATTAATGAGGATATAAACAGCATAAACAAGAGGATCTTCGCTGTGTTAAATTTTTCTTTGGTGTTTTTCTTCAGTGAGTGACCGCGTTTTTTTTCAAAAAATGATAAATAGTGGTGATTGTACTCATGGACAAGTTTTGGAATGAAATTTTCTACGCAAGACACTTCAGTATTGGAACAGGAGTATTTTCTTCCTAAAAGTTTTAACCTTCACCAAATTTCTGGCATTTAAACCATGCATACTGAACACCAGTGTTTCAAGTTAAAATCAGTGTATTTCGGGAAAGAAATACACGTCTGTCGAACAAGAACAAGAAATCATTCATGACTGATATGAACTACGTCCGCGACTGTCTTAACTTAAGTCAAAATGAACAACACAAGTGGACAATCACAATTTTTCAACGTCCACAATGTCATGGGCACAAATCGAAAAGAAATTTCACAGTTTACAGAGCCACAGAGCTAAAGACCTGCAGGTGTAAAAATCTGTACACTAACAGCTTTGCCATATTGTTTTAATTTCTCGTTCTACTTCGACGAGTATTAACTATTAATTGTCCCAAAGTCGTCTTATTCGTCCAATTTTTCCTCTAAACGATCTACTTACGGTTTCTTTTAGTACCGAGTCCTAGTTTGAGTTCTGTTTGTTCCCTGACCTTTTGAGTGCGTGGGGAAAAGGCCAAACGCACAGGCGCAGCAGCAAACACAGAGATCAAAAACAGGAAGTCTGATTCTAATGATTAGGAGATAAACTTTCGCAGTCACGAAAACATTCTTGAAATGGATTTGAACTTGTGAACTTGGTGATAAGGATCTAAACAACAAAAAATCTCAACAAAAATGCTTGAAAGTACGTTAGGAAGAGAATAGTCTGGCAAAACTTAAGAAACGTTAACTGATGTACAATTCAGCTCCACAAATTTAAAATGTGTCACCTGTTTGCTAGGATTAGGCACGGTTCAACAGGAATCTCGACAAGGCGAAATTCGAAAAGAATTTGCAGTAAATTATGGAAGATATCTCGTGAGATAAAGCCTTCAAGTTTATTTCAAACAAATTTGGACTGTCTCCGTGATAGCGCCCATTAATTCTAATAAATCTTGCAGGTTTCATGCAGTTTGTGTTTTCAATTGCAAATATTTGTCATGATATCATTTAAATATGGATTAAGGAAACAGTTTTGGAAACTAATTTTCAGATAATCGCCCCCCAAGAGGCAAATGGAATCATCTAGTCCCTGGCTATTTGAATAGCCAGGGACTCTTTCAAGAATACTCTTTTGTTTTTCGGACGTCTAGTCAATACAAAAATGTTTGAGAAACGAAAACATTGTCGACAAAGTAACCTCTTTTTTTCGCTTGTCCGCGCGGAAATCATATTCAAAGGCCTTAAGGAGAAGCAAAGTCTAATTCTGGAATTTTTGCGCATTAAAGAAGGTCCAAATTTTTTTGTTCAACTCCTACGCTTCTTGGATGTTTCCTAGAAAATGTAGATTAAACTACAACGGTAACAACGGGTAATTACAAATGCTATTTTCAGCGACATCAATTTCTTCCAGACGCTTCAAAGATTTCAAAAGAAAATTTTTTTTGACTTTCAAAAGTGTTGAGATCAGGAAAAAGATATGCAGAAAAATACGGCAAAATATTCGATGTATGAAAACAGCGACATTTTTCCTATCTCTTGAAACACAACACAATCTTTTAGCCCTTAAAGGCAATGCGATTCCTATCTGTATTTTTAATGAATTTAGAACAAACTCCGTAACTAGAATTGTTACCTTATTTTGAGGGTTAATCTAAAGTTTAAAAATCTAAATTCGTTTTTCGAAAACCTTTTTCTCATTACATCTGAAGTTACATCGAGAAAGTGCTATATGAGTATAATTCTCCGACTTTTTTTTTTTTTGACCGACGCCGGCCTACGAGTTTCTGCAATGAAAAGGATGGGTAAATAATCTTATATTTTCACTAACCCTCATTGTCAGTTTTCTCGGGCCAGATTTATAACATTCGAGCGACCAACAATACCTTTTTTGACTTTGATGATGACATAAGCTCAGGTTTACCAAACGTTGGTCACTTTAGCCATGAGAAAAAGTTTTTTTTTCAAAGAAAACTTTCCTCCGGCGATCCCTTTATCATTTAAACTGTCTTCACAGTTCTTCCAAGTCTTGAGTATGAATATTGCATCAATAAATGATAGCTTTTGTTTGGCGCGAAAATATACACCTGGATTTATATCCGCCGACATTTTCTGCTTTGGGAAGCAAGTATAGAGCAGTTTTCCTAAAAGCTTGAAGCTTGCGAGCTTCGATTAATAAATTATGTGCAAGGACATATGACATATTTCCATGTCATATGGAGGCTAGTGTGTGTGTCA